TATTTATTACGCGAACAGGATAAAATTATCGACAACAAACTCGCTGGTTTCCTTCGAATCCCAAGGCTATCGTCCGGGGGTTGCCACGCGATGTTAATCTCGGTGAAAACGTGCCAGCACCTTAAAATCCTATCTGGTAGTCCCTAACGAGGACGTGTGCACGTTACCTCACATACCAGCTAGAAAAGAGATCTGTTATCGTGTTTCTCGAATGGGTTGAATACACTTCTGCTTGCTGCTACTTTGGCTATTGATATCTCTTGTCTGATTTATGGTTAACCTTGATGCAGAGCGAAATTAAAGCTCGAGCATGGGGAATTAAGATCATTCTCATAAAGAAATTTCGTGTTTCTGGATAAGGAGCAAAATTCTGAGATAAAGATCATGGAATTTTTTCAAGGTACATTTTGCTTTAGCAAACACCTGTCTCGGCGAGAGGAAAACGATCGTTTTGACAGTGGACTACTAATTAGAGAAAACTAGCACTCGCACTACATTCCTCACATTTTGGTCCTCGATATTTAGCATATTTATTTACAATATTTATTTAGAATATTTATCTACATATTTATTTAGAATATTTTTATTCTACAGGACCAGGAACGCGTTGGATCGTTAGCTAAATCAAAGGAAGCACGAGATGTAAAAGCAGAGCAACGACTTGTATGATCGGAATGGAACGAGGGAAAACTCGAAATTCGCATGTCTGATACGAACCTGTTCGTATGACAAGTAGCATACGCGAATCGGGGCCGGTCGATTATATTCGACAGTGGCATGAACTTGATCCATTAGCATTGTGCAACGTATCGTGGGTGCGTAGTCTACTCGTTTTACTGTCATACGATTTAAAACTCGTCAGACGTAAATGGATCATTTGCGTTATCTTACGTGATACTAATTTTCGATGACGAAATTTTACTCGTTGTCTCGCTCCTTTTTTCTCCCCTACTCACTCTGCTTCGTATTCCAATTTGATCTAAAAATCCGCTGATTGACAAATCCGTGCCCTGCTTAAAATTCAACATCAGCCGAGGGAGGGAAGTGAACTTTCTAAGAGAAAAGGAGATCGGCAGATACGATGGAGATTGAATCGGTTCAAGCACGATTCTATGATTCGACGTCGAGTGAATATTAATGCCCTCGTGAGAAGTAAAGATGGACGCTTAATGAACTTAAGTTGTTGTCTCGGCTATCGAGGCTGACCAGGTGAACGGTTAATTCAACGAAGCCCCATGGCTGTGGAAAATAACTCGCCTCCTTTCGGGAATGGGATCGTTAAGCTTGACAACGACCAGCCTTGTCCCAGTGTTGCGTAACGATAGTCATATTGTATTCGGATTTTACCTCTGTCATATTAACATGACTCGTGTCCGAGTGAAATATTCGTGTTCTAACGCACCAAGTGTTATCGGAGGTGTTGAATTTCTTGTTAGTACACGATAGAGATGAAAAATGGACCTGATAGAAACGAGAAAAATGCAAGTCTTATCTCCAGTAATCACGCTGAATCGCTATTGCACTACTTATCAATGACCATATATTACAAAATGTAATAGACCGAATTTTAAGAACGAGATGAAGACGAATGAACGTACAACACACAGCGAATTAAATGCTATCAAAGTGATGATATGAAAAAATTCTGGACGAATTCAGACCCCGTTAACCGATCTTTTTTGTTGACCAAATTTCACGAGATAACCGAGAATGCTCGATCTTCCCAGTGGGTATTACGCGAAACACCTCTCAGACTCGTTCCCGCTCACGTAAAGCCCTAATTATCATTGATTCACGTGGAAGACGTAGCTCGAATTTTTCACTCTAAAACTGGTTGGTCAGGTTCCATCGAGTTTTCACTCCGATCATCGAGTTCAGGAGGTCAGTGCGCGATTCCTAAAGGTGAATCGAATGAACGGCCATCGCGGAACGAAGCAATAAGATCTCCGCACGCCGAGTTTTCAGAGATAAATGAACAGATCCTCCAGCATGGCGAGCGTGTGCCATTTGACGATCGAATCACGAACCGGCGAGAACGTCGACCTTAAAAACGGCCACTAGAGGAACACGCCGCCATGGTGACTCACGGATTTGCTCGCGTGCTAAGGAATCGTAATTAATTTTCAGAAGAATTACCGGTGTGCTTTCGCGAAATAGCCCGGAGATAGTTCATCCTTAACGCTGCTTGCCCGTGTCTTCCGTTCTACGTGTTTATTTATGAGTTTAGATTAGTTGAGTCATCATGATCATCGGTACCAAAGAATGTGGAGTGCACGACCCGGTGTTGGCAGCTATTACGTTTAATTTCGTTTGGAATTCTTATTTCTATTTGGACGGGAAACCCAGCCAGTTTATGCTTAAAAATTGATTCATCCTCCAAAGTGAAAGCGCCAGGAACATCACGATACCTGGATTTAATAAAACACCATTATGCACTCGATTATGCATCCGTGTAATTCTATAAGTTGTAAAAAAGATCGGTATACTAATTAACGTGTTCCTGTTCCTTTCACCGATCGGTACAATTGCAGAAACGTTGAATGTATCTATACTTATGATTTTTTTTATTCATCTTTGAAGCCCCGGGATCGTATGAAAGTGAACTTTTCATGGTATCGGGCTCGGCGAACGAAGATTACGAGCGAAGAAACTCTCCATGAAAGCGTCTTCTCTTTTCCGCGTTTGTATCATAGAAGAAGAGATCGTAAAGAACAATCGTTGAGTAATTCCTTCTATCGTTTGCGTTTTATATAATAACGCGAAACTCTATCCCGCAGCTGCTGAATTTCGAGCGTGACTATGAAATTTATTGACCTTCTCTAATTATACATTTAACTTAGAACGCCAATCTAACGGAATCTCGCTGGTAATCATTATATCGTGGCAATTAGGAATATCATTGTATGAAATATATCCGAGGAGAATTCACGCGAGAAAATTCGCTTGAAATAATCGCGATCGTTTAATGATTAATAACCATCCGCCATGAACGTTGAACTATAGAACGAATCTCGGTGAAAGCCAGACAAATTGACAATACGGTGTAGGTCCTGCTGTTCATAAATATCACCGATATGTATATAGATTTTTTCTCTCCTTTCCCGCCATGGAAATCCGCGGTCAATTATCTTGCTTATCCAAGGCAAACCCATGCGTCTATGAGCAAATATTAGCCTGCTGTTGCTGGAACGGTTATCAAACATTTACATTCGTGATTCGATGTGGAGTACATTAGGAAGTATAGACTTGGCACGGAAATATGACCGTGGAATCCAATCATTTCTTGGGCTCCGTGAAAATCGTTTTACCCAGCCTTTTAAAATACTCTGATATTTCTGAGAAAAGAAAAAGAACCGTTCGAATGGTGGACACGGAATCCATTTTAAATTCCAGACTAAATCTTATTTTAATAGATTATCGTTTCGTTCTGTTTCATAAAGGAAGGTAACCGTTGGGAACATCGAAGATCGGTTAACCGAAGTAGCGAAGCCTTTTGACGCTGGTTTCGTCCTCCATTTTGAAGTAAGCAGCGGAACGGTGTTAATTACAACCTGTCGAAACTCTGAAAATTAAACTACGCTTCTTCCGAATAGAATTATAATTCGATACCGGAATTATTCGTAAAACTTCCTTTTATATTTTCGTGAGAAATAGAAACTGTGTTACCCTCGTTAATTAGAAAGGAAGATAAGACGTGGAACTCTAAAGATGTTCTTTTGGCTAACCCGAAGCTTTAAATCAAATGTACAAGGTCTCGCAGAATCTCCGTATCAATGCGTACTTGTCCTCTTTAGGTTGCTAGATTTTCTTGCCACTCGCAAATATTTTCACAAATCTGGGTCTCGAGAGCCCCGTAAACGGAGCTACTTGACGTTACAACGGAACGCTTTCAATGAGGTAGCCCGGAGTCGTCTATAAATTACATATAAATAGCACCTTACTATATTCTAACGTTTAACGGAGCTTTCAACAAATATGGGAATGCACATAGACCTTGCTCTATGTTAAACCCGCCGATTCCCCAAGTGTACATATATGTAGCCATTATTACAAAGCTTCCGCGCCTCGAGAGAGAGTGGAACAGCTATCTTCAAGGCGATACGATCTCTTGACTGACCAGAAGAGACCCTCCAGTTCGTAGCTGAAGAGGAAGTAACGCTGTGGTTGTCGTACGTTTTTGATGAACCACGAGAAAGCTAACAAAGTCGTCTCCTAGATGAGAGCACAGAGTCGAGGACCTACTGGTAAACAGCTAGTCATTCTAATTACGATCTTAATTGCACTAGTGATTCATTAGATTTTTCAGAAGATCGCTTTATCCGAAGAATCGTGGCGCATTGTTGACCCTGACTAGAAAGTTTTCTCCGATGATTGTGTAAGATGAGTCCAGGAAATGGGTGGAACTGGTTAGGCTGATTGGTAATAGAAATAGAATATTTTTTCGTCCCATAAGAAAGTGAACGAATATGTGGAAAAAGACGAAAACAGACGTGGAAGAAAGAGCACATAACGTAACATTTGTACAGATATCAACGAGACTTCGCTTGTATCGAGGTGAGGATTGACAAAGTCTTGTCGTTGGGAAATCGTGGAATATTTTTGTGTCGAAATTAAAACAAAATTTCTATTTTTTAATGACTTCAGTTCACCGTTCACAGGCTGGATTTTATTACTGTATATTTTTACACAGGTAATATACATCTTCGTATATATGTTACAAGTAGAAAAACGAAGAAAATGAAGATTTCGTTAATTATAGATTAAAACACGAAAGTCGCAGAGTCACACCGTTGAGATTTGCCTATGGAGAAGATCTCAAATCGATCTTTATCAATGTGAATTACACACCACGCATTGGAATAAAGGGATCACGTCTTCTTGTGGAAATTTCTTACCACGAATGACCACCGATTTTCTCGACTCGTTTGGATTAAGAATTATTGCCATAGATGATTCATCCTAAATAGAAAGGCAGAAGAAAAGAAGAAAAAATGGGAAAAGATTCAGGACTGACGTAACAATTTGCGGGCTGAATCGATACGTCCTACCGTAAAACAACGATTTCTAGGAAAAGGCGACTGTTCGTACTGTTATGGTAGCTCTCGGATTACCAACTGACAGTGCTACTTTCAAACGAATCCAATACTTTCTACCGTTCGATTACATTTGCGGGCAACAGCAATTCGATCGATTTATCTATCGAATTACCTCGTCGTGCATTATCGTTTTAGCCACTTATCTTGAAACCAACGTGGCAAAAAGCATCTCTCTACAATGAGACCGTTTCGTCGGCCATAAAAACCTGTTACGGATTCTGTGCGGCTGTCAATCACGTAGAATGTATAAATTTCACGTTATCAGCTTGATTTATAACCGCCACATCATGTGGCTAGTTACATCACGTGTGCCTCGAGTCTTCGATTTGTCACGCAGATTGATTTCATCGAGGCGGAGAGTACCTGTTATTTGTCCATCTATCCACCACGGAGATACCTCTTCGAGTACTTTATAGTCATGTGGACCCACGTAAGTAGTCCTCTAGACTTATTGCTACGTTGCACTTCCTTCCACTCCGTTACTTTTAGATATAGGGGTTAGAATGCTCAATTCCTGATCAGAATTTGGCGGTGTCAACGTGTCCGTGGGTGTCCTAGAGATTACTCTGGCCTGTACAGTCTTGGAGGAATCTATCACAGTACCTTCTAATCGGGAACTCTTCGCTTCCGGCGGATTACTAATTGTACATTTCTTGAAATGGGTCCGCATATTGCTACTCTGTGAAAATCTCAGTCCACAGTTCGGACAGGAATAAGGCTTGGTCCCCGTGTGATAATTAAGGTGAGTCTTTAGATGATGTTTCTTCGTGAACGCCTTGGAACACAGTGTACATTGATAAGGCTTTAATCCGGAATGTAATCTCGTGTGTAACGTCATGTTCGATCGATCAGCGAACGCTTTCTGACAGACCTGGCACTGATAGGGTCTTTCCCCGGAATGAGTTCTGAGATGTTGCTTCAACAACATCTTCCTGGAAAATGCTTTCCCGCACTGTTCACACTGATGTGGTTTCACTCCTGTATGAATTCTGACGTGCATGTTGTAGGCGACCCGCTGATTAAAGCTTTTGCCGCATTCCGCGCAGCCGTACTCCTTCCTGTTGCGATGGATCTTCATATGGGAACTCAGGTAGCCGCGGTCGTTGAAGTATTTGCCGCATTCTGGACAGGTGGCTGCGAATTCTCTGGTACCCTCGTGGACGCTTCGGTGGTACTTGTAATTTCGTAACTGGGAGAATTGCTTGCCACAATCGGTGCAACGGAATGGCTTCTCCCCCGAGTGCGTTCTGACGTGCACCTAGATTCGCAGTGGAAAAGAAACTCGTGAATTTTCGTTACTGGCATTCTCTGTTAACCGTAGTTGATGACTGAAGATTTTAGTAACTAATTCGAGGAATCATTGTAATAATACGAGGAGGAATTGGAAGTCGTGTAATTTCGCTATGATGTATAAGAGAAGTGGTAGTTTCAGCGATGCCGTACGAGGAGTCGTAGAGGAATCACAGGTCGTGGAATTTTGATCAAATATTTTATAAGGGTACCAGCAATCTCAGTAACGCAGGATAAGAAATTGTAAAGAAATTGTAAAGAAATTGTAAAGAAATTGTAAATCATGGGACTTTATTACAGTACCTTATTCCAGCGGTAGTCGTAATTTTAGTAATGCAGGATAAGAAGTTGTGGAAAAATGATATATCGTGGAATTCGAGCAACAATATCTTGTTCCAGTGGTAGTTAATCGGTCGTAACCTCAGCGATATAGGGAATGTTAGGTGAACACGGAAAAAAGCAGAAAAGGTATGAAGCAGCCAATCGATCAGTACCTTTAGGGAGGCTTTGGTAACGAAAGTCTTGCCACACTGATCGCACCTATGATTCTCCTGTGCTCCTTTGCCGCGTTGAACAGCATCCTGACTAACTATAGCATCGTTATTGTTGTTATCACTGTTGATAATGACTCTTTCAGCGAACTTATCGTCGATCCTCGTTTCTTTCTCGGGCTTCTCGGCTTCCACATTCGCGAAACGATCGGTTTTACCAGTCGACTCGATCGTATCGCACAATCTGCTAACAGGATGGGAGATTTCCGGCCTCTGCGGCGACTGAGGTAGCGTTTGTCCGAAATAACTACCCTTCCTGTTGATATTCATCTGACTACCCTCCGTGGCACTCGACAGAGATCTGGTTGTGGTAGAAATTACATTATTCTGAGACTGTAGCATCGTCTCGCTGTTCCTGACATCGCTATTAACCGCAGGGGTGATCTGCGTGATGGTTGACGATGGAATTTGAGGCGGATAAAATTCCTGAGGCCTCGGTCCCAAGGTAGAATTCGCTTCCAATAATTTGCTACCGTTACTGTATGCAACATCGTGAGTGATAGGAACTTCGACACCATAGTAGTGATCCGCAGGCGCAGAATTTTTGGAGAATTGGCGATTAGGACTGGTGGAAATCGCTGGTGGTCGCGTGACTTCCGGTACACGTAGATTCTCCCTGGTTTTCTGTAACAAGACCATCGAAACCTCTATTTTCTTCCTTGGCATCGTACTTTCATCGTTGCCATTCAGCCCTATCAGGCCAGACCATTTCTTGCCCTCTCACTTAATACAATCATTTTAATTATACATTATGCATATACTCGTAATACGTGTTATTCAGCTTATTCGGCTTCCACGATTTACTTGGCAGTAAAATCCGTACGAACTTCTTGCTCGATCTACTAGTCATATTAAACCTTCAATTATCATTAGAGAAAATCATCGGAAGCAATAAAATTGATCTGGCTCTGAAAAAGCATCGGTTCGACGTTAATTACCGATTCGTGATTTTCTAATTGTCGTTCTGACTTACGAGAATTCGTACTTAACTTGGGAATACGTCGATCATCGTGTAATTGTGAAGGATTGCTCTCGATTATTACATATGCCTATATCTGATTTTACGTGTGATCCAGTTCATAACGTTTCCGCGATAATTTACTGGTTCGATAACGAAACGAGGGATCGGTAATTTCAACAAAAACAGATGAAAATGCGAATGCACGCTTATCTAATGCTACATTCACCGATGATTAACGCATATATATTTGCCCTTATCGGAACAATTACGTTGATAGATTACTCAAGAGTGCGTAATGCGAGGAAAGGAAATTTTTATTCGTATCCTATTGCTAAACATCGTAGAAAATAGAGCGCAATAATTTCGAACAGAATTAAGTACGAAGTGAGCTGTCAAAAGAATCCTACTTATCTCGCGTCGTGTAAATGCCCCGAAGGGTATGAAAAATCCAATTCGAATCTATCGATAATTCGAGCAGCTATTTTCGCATCGACAGAATCGTGTTTCTGTATCAGAGACATGCTCTTTTAAAGCAAAGGTGCGCCTCGATGCAACCGAGTCGGTGGAAAAAAGAATAAGACGAAGAGGGAAGAAGAGGTTCTGCATCAAGGTACACGGGGCCAGGTTGCGCAAGGTTGTAAAGTAATCGGAAAAAATCTGGAGCATATCAGTGCACGTGTCGAAAGAGAAAACGCTCCTCTCCAGATTGCGTGTAATAACACGTAAAAGCGATCCTCGCAGCTGGCCAGTGCCACCAGCTGGTGTGGCACCTTCTGGGCCACTCTTGAAAAAGAAACGTCGATGGAAAAAGCGTAACAAGAGAAAAAGAGGAGAAAAAGAAGAAAAGACGCAGACAGAAGAAAAAAAATGAAGGAGAAAAAAGTGAAAAGAGGAGAAAAAGGAGCAAGAGGTCCGTCATGTAACTGATAGTTTCATTAATAAGAATGACATTGGCCAAGCAAGACGAGGCAGCTGGTGTCGTGGACACGTCTTATCACCTGGCACCATCGAATTACCGAGGCCTCCTAAATGAGCCTGCAGAAGTGCACACCCGGAGGAGCACTGATTCCTCTGCATATTTCAGCAGAAGAAAGCAAAATGAACGGCTGGCATATCGAGACGCGCACGGTTCAACAGCGTGCTTTCATTTGTGGTGAAAGGTCGATGAAGAATAAGTGGGTCCTGCTTGTTCTCCCGACTCTTCTTGCTTCTTTCTTGTTTCCTTTAGAAATAACAAGAGATCGGCTGTACAGGGTGATTTGCAAATCGGTCACCATGATATTTTAACCGCTTCTGACAATTCGACGAAGCAGTTTCCCAAGGAAGTTCCCAGAAATGATCGAGAACAAGGTATCCCGTCTGAAAGTCTATCTTTTTTCTTACAAGAATTCGAGTCATCTTGCGTTTTTCGTACGATCCCGTACACTTCTCTTTTTGTATCTTCGTAGAATGCAAAAGGATGCAGTTTCCTGTGATGATAATGGTACGAAATTCTTTTTTCAGGCATTCCGCGAATCACGCTGTCGGAACAGCTCCCATATCGTGTCCATCGACTCTGAGAACGGCCTGTATATTTTACACAAACAAGCGATTTCGTGTTATTTCTTCTATCTTTCATCGCGATAACAAGGTATCGAGCAGAATCTATCGCGATGATCTAAATGTGCGGATGAAGATGCGGTATAACAGCACTCTTAATCGAGCCAAAGTGGTTGGAAACTGCGGCTGACTGACACAGCACCATTCGATTGAATTGCCGAGCAACAGAAATAATTGTTTGCAGACGATTAACGGGGGCCTGGTTTCGTTCTACCGATCTCGATCGAATCCTACGAGCTCTAACGACGATCAACGATTCGAAACAATTTCTGCTCTACTTGCACCAACAACGAAACATTCTTTGCCCGCGATTGACACCGTAGATAATAATTTCAGTCGTAAAGAAACAGAATCCCGACATGGCTACCGAGCGGATTAACCTTTTAACCGAGTGATTTGGAATAAACAATATTTCACGTGCCCGACATGTGCATAGTTAAATCACTCAGGGCAGTTTGCTGATCGTAGTATCGCGTGTCCATTAGTTGGGAATCCAGTTGCGAGACACTGATTTGATATTAAGGACGGTAACTCGGTTATGTAGATCCTTAAAATAATGTCGAATCGATGTAACATAATATACAGTGTCGTTTAAAAGTATAAGCTCCAATGTCGTGAAGTACTTACGTATGGAAACGTTCGACGAAATCAGATTTATCGGAGATAATTTGGTAAATTATCAGAAGCGTTACCTAAACTCCCATACGTTCTGACAGATATATAATACGAATTTGTTTCAGATATATCAGTGAGCGATGCAAACGATAACGATCGAAGCAGTGATCCCAGACTTTTGGAACGTGGTGTATTATCTGTGCTGGAAAACGCGTTGGCGAAGGAACCGAGTTTCAGTGTATACTCTCAGGTATCGGCAAAAATATTTCACCCATTCTCCCTGCAGGAATGATCCGAAATTTGAATGCATCCGAAAAGACAAATGGCTGAATATATTTAAAACGTCTAAAGCGTTGCAAACCGTTCGGTTGATCGCGGACTTTCCATAAGTGTTTTATACCTGAAACGGGGACGATCTCGAGCAGTACAGACGGGTGAATGTTATGCAATGACCCGAGCATGTTCGAGAGATCATCAAACGCGAGAAGGAGAAGGAGGAAGAGAAGCAAAAGAGCGGAATGCTGCACACGCGATTTCACAGTAAAGATTTACAAAACGAAAGAAAGGGAAAAAGGGGGTAGAAAGAAACGCAAAGGTACATTAAATGGTTAGTTGATTTTACGATGAAACTACGACCAAAACTACAAGGACCTAATAACGCGTTTAATTTCGCAAAATAGGAGTCACGGATCAGCGATAATCCTGGAAAATTATTATGGAAAAACGGAAGAAGAGCTAGAATGTTTCACGTGTACGAAGCGCCTACACGGTTTCCACTTAATTAGCCTTTAAAGCGACTCATCCTGCCGGTGACACGCAACCAACATGGCGGAAGAATAATGCAAATATTTTCTCTCGTTAATCTTTCGCTATACGGCTTTGCCGGACCGAACCACTGACATTTCCAAGCTCGTAAACGAAGAAAAATCCCGCGGCTCGTTAAGATTTTACCTCTGTCCAATCATTGAATCGAATCGTTTTCATTTCCTGCCTGGTAAATATTATTTCGCGCATGAGATTAAACGGCGGCGCGATGCAGCTGATAAAGATAACATTGCTTCATCGTTCAATGTCGATATTAACGATTTAATTAACGATAAAAGAAATGTGGACCAAAATGGGCATGTCGAACGAACTGCAGCATCTTTTACAGCGAAAGAAGAAAGAGATCGTACCAAGATATCTATTTTCTTCGATCTTTGATCAGACTTTCATTCGATGCAAGACTGTCCTGAAATAGTTCTATACAAATAAATAGTTCTATAGTAGAAAACCGTTCGCAGCTTTCGATGATTAATGATCGAGAAGAAACGAAGCTAGTCGATTTAATTCCATCTCACGAGACAAAACATCTTCGGCAAGACGTATGATCGAAGAAATGATCAGATTCGAATTTTTGTTTCGATTTTACATCTTTTTCGATGGACGAATGAAGAAATTATTGAAATACGATATATGGAAGGATGAACGAGGAAATATTGTTATAATTCGAACTGGATACTCGTTTCAGTAGTGTAGCCGTGATTATAGCTTCCATATGGCGAAGAATCTCGGAGGATGAGGGCGCATAGTAGTCTCTCCTGCTTGATCAAAAGCCACGGTAAACAAGTCACTTTCTGTACGAGAGGATAGCGATTGCTACTGAGTAAGATTAGTAACCCGATCCGACGAGATCCGTGTATGCAACGTGATGTAACAATATGAAGGCACGGAACGGGAATCGGTAATTGTATCTGACCGATAATCGACCGAACAAATTCATCGAGCCTTGTGCAATTGAAAATCCGACGTGTTACGAAAAACTCCTCGAGTTACTTATCGTGCCAAATTTTCTGCGGTGTTTTCTCGATCTTCTTTACATCTCTGAAGACACTGTTCCAATTTTCAGGAAAGCGGTGAAAGGAAATATCTTGGCAATATCTTGCTTCTACTCTTTGTCCAATAGAAACAGGACAATCGAACGAAGGGAAACTCTCAAACCTGTCGTGTTTGTCGAATTAAAAAAGCAAAATTGAGGTGTTAGGTGCGATGCAAGAAAGATAAAACGCAACGTCGAGAAACCTGATCGATTTTCCTAAGTGTTGTTACCTTGGCCTGTTATAAAAATTATAGAGGCGATATTTATTGCAGCTTTCCGGGGAAGCAGTACATCGAGACAGGATATTCGTAGTTGATCATCGTGATGAAAAATACTTGAGCTTCTGCTCTGACAAATAACGAAACGCAAAGAGACACTGTAATTAGATCATACCGAGTGTCTTCCTTTTACTTTCTGTCAAACTCGGACCAGATTCGAGGGACCATTCGATCGACAATCGTACACGGCCTAGATTCGCCATACAGATATGCAAATGCATGCACAGTCGCTGATATTACAAGTTCCCGTCCATTTTTCCCCCTGGACGCATCCAGACCGTGCAATCGGATATTCAAAGAGCGATTAGTTTACGAGATAAATAATATTCTGAAAGGAATACCACGTCGGAGTGTAATGGGCACCTTGAAACAGAAATCCCGCTTCGTGTCTACCTTCGAGCGATACGAGATGTTTCCAGAATACTTATTCAATTTGTATCGAGCTAATGGATACCAAAGCAGCCATTTAAATGTTCTTCAAGTATTACCAGAACGAAAATAACCGCTTGGCTCAGAAGTAATTGCACATTTATACAGTCCCTTTGGTATTTGAACATACTGTATCAATCGTGGGTGAGCATGGGACTGTTTAAGCCAACTTCGCGATAGATAGACAGATTCTCAGATACCTGGCAATTTTTCAGCTAGAGTAGACTATTGTGGAATTCGCCTAAGTATCGGTTACTTGCCGGATACTCGTAATTAACTTCTCTTGCTACACGGTTTTCCTTGCTCAAGAAAATCGTAATCTTCTCGAAGAACTTTTGCAATCTATTCGTCTATGGTGCGCACAGAGAGCGAGGTTATCGAGTGAAAGATTGGAAAACACTTACAACGTCATCGACGTGGGGCTGAAACACCATTGGCTGCAACTTGGGCAAATGATAAGGCCTGACGGTCTGTTTCCACGGTGAAGCTATGACTCTATTAGCCACGTGTCTCTTTGGCGACTTCCAAACGAAACAGCTTTCACGACAAGTCAGATCTTCACCGAAATCCGATTTTTCGTACGATCTCGTACGATCAGGCAACGGCAGGGCCACAGTTTTGCCCTGACACGTTCCGATTCGAGAACGAATTACACTAAGACGATCCGCAGGAGTCCTCTCGTGCTCGAAACAACTACCATACGTGGATAAATCCTTCCCCAAAACATCTTCTTCGTTCGTGGCTTGGAAACGACCGTGATCACCTTTCATCCTCGCGTCAAGTGGATCCAGCGGTTTACTGCGAAGATCGTACGAGCTCCTAGAGAAGCAGAATTCCTGCTAGAGTGTCCACTCGTAACATCGCTAATCCTATCGATCCTCGGCACCACAGAGATCGGATGATACCTTCTGACGTCTGTCTGACTCATCCTGTCCTTATCCAAACGTTGATCTACATCGTGAACAGTCTTTTCTTGAGCGGCGTTCGCGAAAGGAGGAACGGGCCAGGTTGTAGAGCAATATCTACTTGGCCCGTATCGCGATCCGGCAAAGTTCATCGATTCAGGAAGCGGTCTGATTTCTCTTGCGGTTTCCAAGGACTCGATCGCCGGATAGGGTTCCTCTTTACCCGCGGAATCTCCATCTTGATTCCTACGTGAACGGTACCAGCGGTCGCAGCACGGATACTGATCGCACTGAAGGTACTTCGGGCTGATCTTCACGTCCTTGATGTCTTCCTGCTTGCAGTCAGCCTGCGTGCAAGTCATCACGACCGGCACCGGCGGAAGTCTGATGTGGAGGGCCTCGGCCGCGTGCAGAAACGCATTTAGACGAGGACGAGGCACCGTGGCGCTTCCTGTGTACACGAAACCGAGGATCGCTGCCAATTCTGGTGCCTCCACCTCGGCCAGGATCACTGTGATGGGCTCGCAATGCGTTGACGTTCTGCTGTGAGCCAGTAACACTTCCTGAAAGCAGAATGTCGAGCTAGATTATTCAAAGAGGCTCACAGATATTTATGGCCGACGTTAATGGATGAATGTGAAATTTTTTAGTGACCAACTTCTTAAGGTTGGCCGTGATGTTACGTTCCAGTTGGGGAATTTAAATTCCGCGTGTGTTGTGGAGACCTTTCTCGGTTCTGCGGAAAGGTCAGAGATGATCTGGTATCCTAGTTATTTTTTTCAGTATAATTCTGTCTCCGTTTAGGTGACAGTTCTGACGATACGATGGTGGAAATAATTTCTTAATCGCGAATTATCGAGTTCACCATTCCGCCCCTTTCAACTCATTTTTATCGGAGGAACCGTCTGAGAATTCAAACGTTTAACAGAACAAGGAGTTGATGTCTCGAATATGTACCTTTCTATTCGCAGTTCGATGAAACCTGGAATTACATTGACTATCTGAAAGGATATTAATCGTCGATGAAGATGTTAGAATAAATATTACATCGAAATACAAACTTTATGTCTTGTTCCACACAGTCATACGATCATAGTCGGTATCGATCATGAATGCTTCGTGTTTTCTCCAACAAAACGGATGTTTACTCAAAACGAGAGCGAAATGACTATCGATATCCTCCTGCAGCGGGATTGAAACGTGCAACTATGTTTCCTTCGAAAATAACCGGACATATAAGTGGAATAGGCGCGAGTTCTGAAATGATTCGCCTGAATTGCGATCTACGTCTGCGTGCAATGCAAAACGTTCAGCGACGCGAATGTTATCTGGCATCATAAATCTTTAGGATAGAAGAACGCAGAACGATCGTGCATTCCGAATTAGCAGAGAATATTCTGACGGTGAATGAGAAAACTAAACGAACCGACATGTCTTCTGTATATGGTCACTACAGTAGGTATCATAATAGCTCGTGAAAACCTCGTGGTATTTACATAAATTACTTTAGACAAGGATAATCGAATATTAAAAAGTACCAACGTGGAACGATAAAGCATGATACAAGGAACGCTCAAGGCAACCTGCATTAACGGTTTGTATGATTTCTTGTACAACTGGCATTACTGATAAACAGTCGATACACGATTTAGTAAAAACCTACCGCAACTTTTATTCCAGGTGTATTTGCGACGACAAATTTCGCACGTTGAATCGCAATCATTTTTTCCAGCCTTTTCGTAATCGCTGATACAAAGGTATGTTTTATTCGTAGCTAGCTACGGTTCAGAACCCGTAACATATAATTCCATCTAACTAATGTTCGACCTAGCATAGGAATGATCATGACAAATTACGAAAATATCGTCGAACTTATTATATATAAAAATATCATCGGGAATTAACAAATACGGTAAGGATTAAAGGCGAGAAAAATCAATTCGATCTTTCCAGCACGCTTAACACCCGTTCTTCACGCTAAAACAGCTTTAGAAGATAAATCACCAGATATCAACGGCTCTCTTTACACGTACCAGGAGACGCATAATTATTACACTAATTTCCCATCGAGATAGAACTGCGAACGATAGCACGACGTAAGTAATGGCGATCATTAGAGAACCGCGGCGAGCTTTTCTTTGATGCGTAACCAACCGACATCTCAAACGACGAAGGGACAAGCACACTGATGGAGAAAGGCCGTCGAACGATTTCGTACCCCGGGGAATCCTGCAATTTTCAAACGGATACAATTATCTAACCAGTAATCCTATTTTTTCGTTTCCCCGTTTCTTTCATAGTCAACTTATCTATGCCTAACTAGTTCCTTTTTCTACAGACGCTAACACCTGAGAATTTCGCGAATATTCCGAAAATATCTGCTCCATTAATCTAGATTGCATACGGAATAACAAGGCGATACGTTTGCCTCGTTTTGTTACAAATATACCTAATTAAGAGGAGAATTACCGAAGGAATTTTTTCCATACATTCTTCCTGCTTCATTGAATTTCCTCGCAATGAGAATTTCTTCAGGAACCCACCGCGATAACCGTTTTCGTGAAAATAAGTTTAATACTTAGCACCTTAATCACCGCTAAATCTAGCACCTGAATCTTGCTATGTTTCCGAATCGTTAGATAGGCAATAAAATTTCGTTTCGATTGACATTTATTATACGAAGCTATCAGATTAGGACCAATAAAGATTAACGAATAAAGCTTAACGTAATGGCTCATAAACAGCCAGATCGGATGTTACCCGTGTCTATAACCGTGAATTTATTTGATCCGGTTCCCAACTTTGTTGCTTTTCCAACGTTCTCTACGACCTCTGCTATCAGATACGGTAATTAGCGCAAATAGCCCCACTATCGGATTCACGGGATATAGATTTTACGCACGACACTGCTCCACTTAGGTTAACCAGCTCCTTTGATGCATCCTTTTGCCCGTTTACCATAGGGTATAGAACACGCCGAGGACATGTCACGTTTCCCATTAGCAACATTCAGTTACTTTCTTCTGCGCGTGACCAAGTGAACAGGCTGCATATGTAGTTTAATTAGATGCACAGCCATAAACCTTATCGTTATGTTATCTAAACGACAACAATGTTTTGAGCACGATGCTCAGTGAGATACCCGAGAAGCGATCGGTATTTCCAATTTTGTGAATCGTCGCAAAATGTCGGTGATGATTTGTGATAAATGAAAATATTAATTATGATATATGATATAATATAATATAATATAAATTATGATATAAAATTAGAATAAATGGATAAATATTATCTGACAAACGCCTTAAGCTGCCATCCACTTCGTTTATCTCGCTCGTAAATGTAGCACATTAGAAGGAAGACTACGCTTATTTGTAACAATACTGCACGTGATAGAAAATCTCGAATTTTAATTTACGTTTTATACAAATTTATCGCGACAGTGGTACCTGTAATCTTTAAATTATTGCGTTATTAGAAGGGAGATTTATCGATGTTTATCTGGAAGTAACGACACTTGTTAAATGGAAATTTTCTGGACGTGCTTGGCGAGGTATTAAACCTTAAAGAGTTTTGAATCATTTAAATTATCATAGTGGATATTGTCGATCGCGAAGATCTGGAAAGTAAACATTAAATCCAATTTTAGTCTACGTATCACCAGGATACGATGCAGATCGTGATTTTTATGGAGACATGTTGAAAATACCGTGAAATCAATTTCCAGTCTGACGACTTTTATTAAAAAAAATCACACGAGATCGAGAGGATGTAATAATGTAATCTCGTAAATTTATCTTAATAATCATCGAGTTAGCCAGTTGAAAGTAAGCCAGTTTGCAAGGAACGCTGGTATGAGTATAGTTTCTAGACCATTTTATAGCCCGTTTTTAGTCTCAAATGACCTTGCTTGATGAATTATTCTACTAAAAAACAGTTGTATATTAACAGGCAAAAGACATAATAGATCAGTTGAAAGAAAAAAAACTGATTCGATTCGAGACTCCTTTTAAAACAACTTTGGACGACATTGTGTTAAGAAATTAACCACAGTCTTGCAAAAAATGTTGCAACAAAGAAATTCCACCGATATCTCAGAATTATTCTTATATACCTAATACAATATTAAATTGTTTTACTCTTAGCTAGCTGTTTAAGTGTTTGAAATTTGCGAATATTCCTCGATTACTACTTATTCCTTTTAGAAAGTGCCTTATCGATGTAAATTAGAGCAGCACATTATGGTAGATGAATAGATACATGAATCTAGCAATGCGGTTTATCTTTAGGGAGAGATAATTTAGGTATCCGACACAGCGATCGTCCAAATCGGTGTCTAACATCAAGTTTTATGCAAAATTTTATGGCTGCCCAAGGATGTTTTATAAAACGATAGATGATAATTTACATAAAAACGAAATATACACGTGCTTCCTTGGCATCAGAATGTTTCGCTATGAATTCATGCCACGTTTTATAATTTATACCGTTAAAGCGAAAAAATGCTTTAAACATTTACCATTAGTTGTAAAAGATGTTAACCGACCATCTGACACGACCACCTGATTTTAATTTTAAATTTCCGACCCAAAACGAAGGTAAACTCAAACGGCCCATCGAGTCATCGTTTTCGACAACCGAAAAGCACATTACTAATTCACTCCTCACGATTTACCACCAACAGTTCAATCCGCTGAATCATCTCATCTTAGCCATTTAGACCGTTCTAACATAATCGTTATTAGATATTTGGTAGATTACACCTTTTCTTTCTTTGACGAAAGGCAAATTTGACGAAAACTACAGAGACTGTTTATTTCGGATAATTATAAGTATTTTCTTGGGTGTATAACGTGTTTCTTCGCTGCTCGATCTAATCGAGAAAGTACCTACTCGATTACATGCTCAGATACAAATCAGTAACGTCTTGTTCCTTTTCACGGATAAAAAAGCGTAAATTGATTTCAATTTGCAAGTACAACCTTTATTATATTCGTCATTGATAAAAAAATTGAATAAAAAGCAAGAAATACCTCTGTACTATATTGTATATGAATATGATGCTACAAAAAGTAGTTCCAATGACAATATATAAATCGGCAAACGCTAAATACTCAAAATAAAACATCCCACGTCGATAAGAGTTTTGGCACAGGTGATACAGCAGCAGATTTTCAATTCGATGAACCAGAGTTCAAATTTTCTCATATATTATTTGAGTTTGTCAATTTTTCTATTTGTTAAAAAATTTCTTGAACATTTCAATTATATTTCTGATGTATAACCAACATTATTCAAAATAATGACACCAGCAAAAGAAAGGAAAACAATATTTAAACATAGAATTATTTATCATCCATGTGAAATGGATTTCCATCGCATTAAAAACAAAAATAATATAACATATGTGGATATTCCAGCTGGTTGAATGCAGTGATTTCAATGCGTGTACAAGGCAAAGAGAGAGATATATTGAACAAGGTTTACAAGTTATTATACTGTTATTCACTCTCTCTCTCTCTCTCCTTAGATCACATTGCACAGTTACAAAAAGATATTTCATATTCTAGCTCATAAAAGGTTTATTATTGTACGTCAAAAAAGAGTCAGTCTGCGTATACAAGACACGTCATACCTTCTCTAGCAAAAACGCACGTGTCTACATAGGAGTTGTTTATGACAATCCCCGTACAGGCGACAACGTGTACTATCTTGGGAATATAGTGAATCAACTGCCATAAAATAGCTGCGTGCAAGCATTTTAATGGTCCCGTAAGCCGCTATCTGGAGGATCAAGCGCGGCGTTTAGCATGCATCAACTCGCATAACGTATACAGTGCGTCCTACGTGCTAGAAGCTCTCTCATACTCTTTTCAAGATACCGAAACGGTAAATGAAATCATTAGGGTGCAGTGACCCACGGATATCGAAATGAATTGTCAAAGACGCATGCACGTCTATAAATGTCATCGGGTTTTTCCCTTCTAAGTCGTATCTCTATCCTGCCATTACCAATTTACCGACGACAACAATTATCTTGAAAATCCGTAATTCTTCGACATTAATCTTCGATCGATGTCTGAATCTTAATCCAAATTTTCAATATGAACCTTTAAAATTAAAGGTAAAATTAAGAAATAATTCCGAATCCTTTAAAAATGAAGTGACATCGTTTTTCTTGTCACCCATTGCGAAATGCCTTGCTGTGCATGCAGGTGCATTAGATTCCGACTTAACTGCCACCAATCCTGCCGTGTTTCCATTCTGTTCGTCAATTATTTCAAACGTGAAACACGTTCCTTCGGGTTTTGGCGTTGTCTGCCTGGAAAAGGTTCGAATCAGGAAGCGTGACATTGAACGGTGCCCATAGCGGTATAGTGAAAACTTCGAATGGTGTAAAACGAAATGTTTAATTATCTAAGGTTTGTCATCGACGTAACGGAGAAGTCGTAACAGGGTGTGTAATATGGCAATCAGCCGAACGACGAAGATGGTAATGAAAGAAAACAGACCCCATAAATAGTACTCATTATCGACCGGTTAAACATGAAATCCGAAATCAGCGATATCCAGACAGCAACATTTGTTGTCGGGAATGTTCGTTTTTACGAGACAAGAAAAAGAGAAAAATAAAAAAAGAAGGGGAAGGAGGAGAAAAACAGTCGAGTGGTACCATACGTGTACCAAGAACCTTTCACAGTGGAGATTTGCAAGGTGTAATTTTTAAGGCACGTTCCTCGCCGTTTACCAGCCGAGCAATCGTACTGAAAACGATTACCAGAAAATTGTAGCCCGTTACAAAGATATGGGATAGGGCATTGCGATTATGTAACGTGGCATAGACAGATTAAAGTTCGATGGAATACAAGTAAATAGGAAGAGAAAAAAAGGAGGAAATGAAATCTAGTTCTCGTATCATTATGGGAAACACGAGAAACCTGGCATCTGAGATTTGTAAATGTAACTTTAATTTGAGATAAATATAGTAATTGACCTATCTCAAAACATTTGCTGATATTCGATAGTAGGATATCGCGTACGCCTTAATTTTAGCCCGATTTTGCTATTAAAATCACTTAACAACGTGGTGATACGTAAAATGATAGATCAGTTAACGCTTCCGTTCGAAAATTGGACTTTATCGTAGCATTGAATCGCCTGTTATCGTGGCAATTATTTTAATGCAAGGCTCATTAAACATCCGTCATTAGCATGGTATAAACTATAATCTTCACCGACATATAAATAAATCGATCTTGGCTGCTATAAATTCAATTGTTTCAACTGGTTTTGTTAACATCACAGTGCTCTTCAATTACCAGATAAGATTTGATTAATAAGCGGCACAATTTCATAGAATTTCTCATCACCCATTAAACCGTATTTAAACACCAGTTTATTAATTATTCTTTTGCTCACGATGAAGGTGTGTATATACACAGAAGTAATGGAATCGTACTCACAATCAGTCTAGCTGACTGGATTGTATTTGATGCGTATCTTCCTGATAACATACCTCACTGCATAACTTTCCTGTTTCTTGGCATCCTGATTGGCGATTTCCCAAGTAGATCCTCTTTGTTTCGAGTAACATGTGTTATTATGTTCTACCCGTTTTGTTCGTTTTCGACGAATCAACCCATCTCGTACTCTGTAATTTTACCGACGATTAAAACCAATTCATAACATGGAATTTCGTCTTTGAGATTGTCGACTGGTTTGTTTTTCATGTTTCCCATATTTTCCATTCGAAATGTCGTTTAACGCTTGGCAAGTTCGGAACGTTTCAAAATGTAGAACGAAAAGAAAGAGTTTACATGAAAATTACTTTCACTATCTACTCCCATATAGAGTAGTAGTTCTATTTGTACCATCGTCATTTATTGCCATCGAACTGGGATGCACAATGATTAATGACTGAGGCGATTCATTAATATCTTTAAACAGAAATTAACTCGCTTTATGGTCGACTTGCTTCCATTAGTTACTTTGTAAATACTCGATTACATCGATGTGTTTGAAATAGTATTTTTACTCAGGCTACAGGAAGCCATATTTTCTAGGATCGCTGATGTTACGTGCACGTGTTTCTTTTTTTATTTTTTAGCATTCGACATACAGTTGTGCACGCGAATACAAATGATTTATGTACCTTATTATTGATGTACTTAATGCGACTCGGTGGTACCAACGTGCAGTCACTTATTAGTATGATTACATTAATTCGAATCAAAAACTATGAATCCGGAATAAGTTTTCTATTCTCTTCCCTGAACTTTATCCTTCACTGAACTCGCACGCATGTCCAGGTCAATCAGAAAGATGATAAAAGTTCTTGACTAAGTTGGTGTACGAGAGAAAAATAATTTCTCATTATTTAAAAAAGCTTACAATAAATAAACGTATTACTCGTTTCTTTAACTTCGCCTGGATTTATATAACAAACCATTTGGAACAGTGTTAGTATAGAAGAATAATCATTAGGTTTTTGTCTGGAATTTATAAAGATTAAGGGAAAAAAGAGCACCAACCTGTAAGTAAGGGCTGGCAGCTGAGAGAACCAAACGATGTGCCAGGAATCGTTGCCCATCAGGACAACAGAGAGCCACGTCTGCGAACCTTTGGGACAGCATCGCCTCCTTGAGGAACTCTCCGACATCCGGTGCCCTCCCAGAAACCCGGATCACTTCTCCCATCATGCTCCAATTTAATTGCGATAGCACACTACTTCCAATAGCTTTCGGACGATTTGCAACAGTTTGAAGAATCACCACGTGTTCCAATTCCTCGCCATAATATCACGTTTTATTAACAGAAGATGTTTTGTTTAAATAGATGCATCAGTCAAGACCCGGTTACATTTCGTTCGTTCACGTTGCACTTAAATACACTGATTTCCATAACATGCGTGTCCACATGATGAAATGATCCGTGTCAGTTTATCAGAGTCTCTCGTGTGTCGTTATAAATAGAAATCAATTATCTGAGAAACAATTCCAACATTGGTGCCCGACGTAGCCAGTGCTACAAGAAAAAGAGAAGAATTCTGGTCAGATAAGAATTCTAATGGAAAGCTTCGGGATAGAGCTTCCGAAGTGTCTCCATTATCTAGCAGCATTCGACAAATTTATCTTACATACATTTTACCCCATTAATACTCCGTGTAATTTCCTGTTCTTACATCCAGATAGAAAGAATATTTTTCTTACAAAGACTTTCTACGTAGCTAACAATTTCTCTCTTCTTCTCGAACTTTCAATTCAAATATTTCGACAACTTTGGAACCATGTGTAAAACATCTGTTATTATAGATTCCGAAGAATTTCTTTTATATAACATCTTTCGAAAAGAAAGAATTAGAACATGAAATTTATTCCATTTCGCTTAGGAATAAAGAGGGGATTCCTTAAAAATGTGGACATCTATTTTTGGAAGATCCTGTGTATTACAAATAACAAAGAGCGCATCAATCGTTGACAAATTGTTATCTATAGGTAAGTAAATAAATCGTCCAACAATTTTAAGGTTAACAATGCTTTACATTATAATGACAGTAGAAATTGGCGAGTGCCTTCATTGCAGTTTAGTGGGCTAGCGGTTTGCGCGGATCACGGCTGATGCCATTGTACTGTGAAATTACTTTGTGGCCAAGAAATTGATACCCTATAAGATAACACCCCGAGCGAATCGACCAGCACGTAGAAGCCCTGTCATACGCGTGGTTGAACAAAGTTATTCGCGTCGCTTGCGATTTTAATAAACGCAAAAAGCACTTTACATGAGCTTATCAATTACAAATAAAAGTACATGGAAATGGCACTGAGATTGTAACATTGAGATAAACGCGCTATTTCTGTCGTTTAGACAGTACAATGTTAAGGACAAGTTCATCTATTATATTTTTTCTATATAAAAGAATATCAACTGTTTTTCTTGATACAGAAAAGTAATTTCTTCAAGGAAAGATTTTGTTTCTCTAGGAAGACAGAAAAATAATATCGTTAAAAAAAAAGCAATATAATTACTTCAAAAAGAGAGACGAGCAACTTACTCTGGTTCTTTTGTTCTTGGATTTTTAGATCCTTGAAAACTAAAACTCCTGAATTTTTGGATTCCTAATTTGAAGTTAGACATTTGAATTTCTCAATCTTATGGAAATAAACGAATAATCTTATGTGAAACAATCAAGGTTAAAACAGTCCATGCATCAGATTTATCGACTATTCATGTTCCCATGCACTTGTCCGCTTGTCATTGCAGTGATTTAGAAGAACGATCCGGTAGCTTTGATATTTTTCTTAATTATTATCACGATAACAGTGGTAGGTTCTCAATTCGTATCGGTACTTCCTGAAAGCGGAACAAATGCTTTCACGTTTGTTTAATTCACAGAACTGAAATAATTTACCGAATGCATTATATGGGACGCAAATTAGAAAGCAAATTCTGTTGCAATATTAATTCGCGATGATTGTTGAAAATGTACTTTACATAGATAATTGAAGAACTTGTAAAAATAGCATTAAATTTCGAAGCGTATCTTCATTCTTTAGAAAGATATCTCTTAAATGTAATAACTGATCGTTTAGAGTGATTTTCAATTATGAGAATGGTTCGAATTAATAGTGAATTACAGTTATCTAAAATGTCCGGAAAATCAATGATCAACGTAGCATAGTTACGATAATAAGTTCCAATATTACTCAACAATTTGAATAATGATTAGTAACTGCTTTATCGAAATAACAATCTACTTTTGTATCTCATAGATTTCCCATAAATAGGTTGATAATTTAAATTTTTCTAGCTAAGAATATAATTTGGAATGAACATTAATATCCATACTAATGCAATTAGTAATGCAACGTGATACCGGTCGCGATATATATTTTTTTCTCAATAAATTATTTATCTTCTATTCTTGTCTTCTGCGAAAAAATGAACAATGATCGTTAATAAGCACCTGAAAAAGTAACAAAACGATCTTGAATTTTTTATCGATAGTACATAGCTTACAATTCGAATTATACGAATTATATAAATTTACATTAAATTTATCTAATTTTTCTATATACTTCAAATACTACTGTTATCTCTCATAGATTAATTATGGTTCCATTTGTACCTTTTATTTCTTTAATCAATTTTTTTTGGTTATGATAGACATAGCCATTGATGTATTTACGATATAGTCTTCTTATTATTGTATCATAGTAATATAAATCAACTTTAGTAACATTTTTGCACAATACTTCGTTCATTCGTGTATGTGAATTAGTGCAAACTTTTTATACACAATTTAATAGCGTTTTCCTTTAATTTCTCCTTATACCATTTCTCCACATTATTTTCAATTCATTGATTTATGAATGTTAGAAAATTTGCACACTTATCTTAGGTTATACAATTTTGCTGCACATCGAAACATATGTATTTGCCAATTCAATCAACAATTTATTGTTTCACGCACTTCACCGCCTTTACACTACACATTATTTTATTGTTTATTTATTTTTATTAATCACTGTATTAAATTGTATAATAACATTACACTAATGACGGAATTCAAACGATAAATATTCATTTGAACTTCGTTGTACACGAAGATTGTCGACTTGACAAATCGATAATCGAAAAACATCCTAGTAGTCGATAAAAGTGTGAAGCCTACCAATGCGCGTAACAGGACACAAATAAATCATCTAAAGTTCATTTGGACGAATTCTTCAATCGAGTGTTTTAATACTATTCTTTGTTGTGCGATATATCACTTTTCCTCGAAACGTTCACTTTCCTTTACTCTTTTTTGTCTCAATACGAATATTATGTTTTACGTCGCAACTAACCTCTTTACGTCAAAATTTAGACAATCGCTTAGTAATCGGTTAGCTCTCACGCGAATTTGCTCGATCTATTATTTTTATTATTATATTACGATCTCTAAAAACATCACGATGAAAAAAGTAAATATGAAGTGTCAGTGATTTCGCTGCTAGATAATGATTTGCTTCGGAAGAAAGTGTGGAGATAAGTAATGCTTGTAAAAGAGAAAACAATTTTGAAGAGGAAGTCATCGATGACAGGTAAAAGTAACCGTAAAAAATATGTTTATCTCAGACAACTCGATATCGTACGTGTTGAAACGAGTATAAAAATCCGTCATGATAAAGTTGTATACAGAGTGGAACGAGAACTCAACTGAGAACTCGCGGGAATTCTGTGGATCACAGAGTGCTTACGAGATACCCGTCGCTGAACAACTCAGCAGGGCGACTGCCACCTGAAATCCTCAGGTGAGCAGAGACCACCTCTGCTCCTTGCAGTCTCTCAACAGAGAGAGAACTCGAAGGAACTCCTCCCATATCGGTGCTCTACTCCCTCCTTGAGGTTACGTTTCCCATCCTGCCACCACGAGTCACCGATTACCACGCGGACATTCAAATTGATGATGAGATGGAGTGACACTGTTGTAATTGTTTCAATAATATTATTACTGGTGTCCATTCTATAATTACATTTTCTCGGTACTTTATTTTCTCATACTATATCCAAATATTTTTGCAGGAAATTAAATGCTAAATAAGATTGTGAATTATGCAGTAACATCTTTTTATTCCATAAAATGCACACACACGTGATTTCAAAGATTAAAGTTGTACGTCGAATAAATCATATGAAGTATAATTTCCCGATATATTACTTGAAAAAGGAAGAAATCGATAGAAATGAATTATTTTGCAACGAAAAACACTGATGAGCCTGTTTTGTTTTCAAGGAAACGTTAAACGATCAGCGATAAAGTTAGCGGATCAATTAGATTTACGATTCTCACCTCGTAAATGCATGGTGAGGACGGATTTAGAGTGAAAGCGACAACGTCATACTTCACAACTCGCGTTTATCTAAGAGTATACCTTATCAGGGTCGTGATAATTAAGCGAATAGAACGGTATCCGCTTCCGTTCATGTCCTCCATTGGTGAAAAAAGAAAAGAATCGACCAATTTCTAATCCATTTAATAATCTGTTCCTTGGTTCAATTTTGAAAATTATTGAACTAATTCGTTTTAAAAAATATCTCTATATTTGTTTGACCCAATAAACAAATAAATAACACTTCACTTTATAAAAGCTGATAATTTGGATGCAAACCCTGCAGAAGGTTTGTGGGGCATATTCATCTTGTCTCGGGCACGTGGTTGATGCTAAATCGATTAGCACAAGACAAGAACGTTTTCCAGGTTGATTATCGAGTAAACACAATGTTATGTCGGTTCCCGTTTTACCCATATATTAGCCTTGCCCGTTACTGTTCACATCGAATTATTGAGATTCTAATTTATCAACGTTCCCATATACTGTTATTCTCATTTAAATCTATGACATTCTAATTGCATGCGCCACGTGATAACAAAATAATGAACACATATTATAATTTAATAATCTTCTTTTATTCGTGAAAAGTATTAATTCGTTTCGATAATCTTAATAGATTACATTCTCATAACACTCACCCCCATTATAATTTCGACGAATTAACTTTTGACATTTATTTCGATTATACTGTTGACATGTGCATATCTTAGATGAAGTTCATCTCGATTGTATATTCAATATTTTGCTTCGATAAAACTTTAACTTCGAATTTAAGCATTCGTCTCTGTATAACGTTCACTTGTTTAATTTGATTTTTTTTCAAGAGTTCGTCATTTTATCACATTTCGTTTTTAGTTATTTGTTAAAGCCAACAATAATAAGTTCGAGAAGTTTAAACTAAAAAATCATATTTTTTTCCTTAAAATAATGAGCACGATTGGAGACATAAAGGTGAAAGCATGGTCACCTGCAGTTCCTTGCAAGATTCCAGATAATATTGTTTCTTCACAATTTACGTCACATAAAGGATTCACTCCATCGTATGAAAAGTAAATTCTGATTTGATTTCACAATATTATTTATTTAATAATTAAACTATATTTTCTACAATGTCATAGGGAAAAGCGTCCCTGTATAGAACAATTACTGACGAATGAATATCAACGCATTTGGTGGCAAGAAAAGGAGTCATGGGATAAAAGATGCAGAACAAAGATAACTACTAAAAAATTATTGCAACGCATGGTAAAAAAAAAAAAATAGCATAATCTTCTGTATCAGATTATACAATCCATTTCGTAAAAAATATTTCTATAAATAACGATTAAAGTTATAAAAAAACTTTGTATAATTTTTCTCGAAGGTAATTAGAAGAAAATCAAAAACAGTACTTGTTCTTGATAAACCTAAAAAAATTAAGAAACCAAAGAAGAAGAAAGAAGAAAAAGTTGCAGAAACAATTGAAGAATCAAAGGATGAGAAGAAAAAAGAAAAAAAAGTACCTCCACGGGTGGAAGAGACAGTACATAAAACGAAGAAAAATAAAGACGAGGAATCGACATAAATTTGATCGAAAAATACCGCTGATTATGATTTAAACTCAAATAGACTTTCAACTTGATACTAATATAGAATTTTGTTGCGCATAATTTCAAATTAACATTCACCAATTTTATTACTCAAATCTTGATTGTGACATCTGGTACAACGTATATCGGTTTAAGTGTTATACCATATTGATTTCACACCAACTTCTGCCTGCAAAATATCTTTTATATGTACCGAAAAAAGAGCATAAACAAAAAGCATTGCTTATTTTTTATTAAACTGTGAAAAATTATGTAATTTAAAATATAAATGTTCGCAATTAATAGACATGTCGCGTAAACAATAAATGGCGCTCTTTTCTCCGGGTGTCTATGCAAGAAGCTTTCCTTAAGTACACACAAAGTACAAATTATAATATTAGCTTCTTTTTCATATGCATTACGTAAAGTAGTATACTATAACAGAATGTTTTATCAAACAACTGCTGTTTCGGTGTTATTTATACACGTAAACACTGCAGAAGGTTTGCATAACTGCAATGAAAGTAAATATAAAAGAATAATACTTCAATTCATAACATTGCTATGCAACATTTATAAATCAGTAACTCTAACCATTAATTACATAATTTTTATGACTTTTTTCGTTATTTATATAGACTTTCTAATACTATTACTCACCAATATGTTCTAATCTGATAAAATTACGTGAAGCGGACACTACACAACGTTTGCAGTTTGTTGAAAGACGAAAGTGGAAAATGCTGATGCAACCAGCAACGATAGTTGAGTTTGATTTCCAGCATGTGGAATGAATTTTTAAGGGGAAAAAGAATGTTGTCGCAAGTTTTACGCTTTTCGTAACAATAAATAGATTTATCATATTTTCTAACAGAGATACGTGATCCTTTTATTGATTTTAATATACTACTTTGGGAAAAGTATTTTAAAGCAACGTAAATTTTATTACACGTAAGAAAAAGTAATATTTACTTTTTACATTTTAGTATCGAGTTTTTATTTAAGGATTTTATGACCATTTTTTATTTTCTTAAACCTTTTCTTGGACAATATTTTTGAAAGAAAGGTCCAGAACTCGTTCAAGGCGAACAACATGCCTCTATATCTATCAATTAACTACCCGATATTTCATCTATAAAACAAGATGAAACAATCAACGTTATTGCATCATAATCAATTCATTTGTAAAAAGATATTTTTTGTTTTAGAAAATAGTATGAAATATACCTGTTAATATTGACGTCAATAAAGCATTAAAAAATACTAAGAAATATGTCTCATGACACGAAAACATATTTTTGAATATTAGTAGTAGTAATAACAAATATCCTCTGTAAAAATGTTTGCAAAGAAATATCAATAAATGTTTTTCTTTTAAATCTTTGTATTTTAAATTACAAAATTACAATGTTGAAAAAGAAATAGACTCTTTATGGTCCTTATAATATGCACGGTTCATTTAGATATCAGTTGAAAAATGTTTTCATATTAACTAATAAATTGAGGCGTGATTAAAACGTAGAATATTGTTCACACAAAAAAAATTCTTATTCCCATAAAAAACAAAGAAAATGATATGCATAACGCAGCATAACAAAATTCAATCATGAAACCATTAATTGTAGATTAAGAGATAAAACAGATTGCAGTTTACAACTCTACTTATATGTTTCGAATCTATCTTTAGTCGTGTTCCGGTATAAAAAAAGATAACACAACTACGTACAACTTCATTCGATATCCTTCGGATATAAGGTTACATTTATGCTAGGCCATATTCCATTTCTACCATTTCGTTGCAAAACTACCTAGGTGTTTCATTACGTTACGCTACCGCATTAAATAACAACCATCGACAATTGTTTCCTATAAATTCTTCGCAACAGTGAATGAAAGGAAAATCGAAACAAATTGTTGTACAATATGAATATCTTGTACGTGATACACATATTTAAAATAATCTTTAAAATTGGAAATAAAATATTTTATTTAAAACATACTGTATTAAAAATACTAATATATGTTTTTTTCAAAATTCACCAATTCGATTTGATTTCATATTACAAAAGGATAAAATACAATGAACTAATTTATAACAAAATCTAAGCATTTTTGTGCAACTACTAAATGTCAAATGGTACTTAAACAAAATTCGCGCGTAAAATTCGTATGACAGTGCTGCCGCCTAACAGAGTAATCATGTAATGCATCAACTCCATTTTAGTTTGTCGAAACGGGTTAGTCATACTCAAAGCATTACGCGTTCGATAAGATTCATTCGGGAATGTTTTATTAAAAACTTTTTTACCTGGTCTAAAATCCGTGGTAATGCAACAGTGTTTACGGCAGTGGAACATAAAGTGTAAAATTGTTTAAGCAATTCTGATTTTATTCTTCGGTATGTCAGAAGGCGAGGCTGCAGCATCGCAGAAGAAACAGCAGCCATTTCAGCAACAGCCACAACTTGGAGTAGGCTCAATGGCGAATATGGCATGGCAATATCCCTCGCCAAACAATATTCACAACATGTTTCCTCCATATTCAGGGTAATTATTGATTCTATCGATTTGACCACAAATATTTCTGCCTAACAAATAAATAATAATAACTGCGACGTTTTGATCAAAAGAATCTTTTAGACATATTAAGAACAACGCATATAGATATTGTATTCGATGATTTCATGTAATTTCTTATTTTACTTCCGTTTTTGCGTCTTTCTTATAATTTGAATCAATGAAATTATTTTTATCTTCTTGGTAAAATGATTATTCAACAAATGTAGTAAAAATAAAGAATAAAAAATAGATAACATGATAAAATATATCGACGTATATAAAGAACTCTGTATAATAGCTCACTTTTAGATTGATATATGTAATATAAATAACTAGTGATAATTACAAAAGTATTAAAGAAATAAAGCACATTGTACTATATATGAATGTATAATGAACTAAGAAATATCCAAAATACTTGCTTGTATATATAATTACTTGTTCAGAGATTTTTAAAGCTATGATTAATAATAGATCTTTTGTAACTTTAAGCATTCCAATTGCATATATTAATTATATTTTTTACAGGCAGTTGTATGGACCAGGATATCAAGGTGTACCTCATCAAGGACAAACATTTAGTTATTATCATGCAATGATGCCTGGATATGGACAACTCCACAGTTTTACTCCACAGCAGATGCAACAGCAGCAGCAACAGCAACAGCAACAGCAGCAACAACAGCAGCAACAACAGCAGGACAACAATCAAGGAAAGCAGTTACATCAACAACCACCAGTACCTGGAACTCCAATGTCTTTAGATGATGATTCTGAACTTCCTCCTTTACCTCCTGGACCTCCACCATCTGTGCAGACATCTCAACAACATAATAATCAAGTACAACTATCTATACAACCTCATCCAGGGTACATGTATAATGCATTTCCATATAGTACTTGGAATGGAATGCATAGTGATATGTCTCGTAAGCTTTTTCTGTATAAGAACTATAAAAAAAAACTTGATCTTATTTAACTTATGAAGTAATATTTAATTTTATCTTTTCCTAATTTCAGAATACAATAATCAAATTCGTTTCAACGTATACAATAAAAAAAATGGTTTGGCTTTCCTCTCTCCATCCGGAAATAGTGGAGCTGCAAAGAGAAAACGTAAGCGGAATAAAAATTTAGCGGCTCAGTTCAACAATAGCTTTCAGGCAAACAATCCAACAACAAATTTTGTTCCGGGTCCCAATCTGAAGACCGAGTTACCACCTTTACCTCCTGCACAGCGTGAAGTAGTGGCTCCTCCTCCACCAACTGAAGAATCCCCTACTCCTACTACACCTGTTATCACAACTGTTAATAATACAATTCCTAGTGCTGGTACACCAGCGGTAGGTACCCCTTCTATTGTGACAAATCCCAGCCCAGTCGGTGATTGGCCTGACAGCTTGAAGAATTACGTAAACAGGTGTTACGAAAAATGCAAAACAGCAGTGGATAAGGATCAAGTTGAGATTATATTAAAGGGAAAAATCACGCGTGCCGCGAATGACGGCTCGCTTTGGGTGAAAGACTGGGACCAAGAACCTTTGCCTAGCATTCATAGTGAACGTATGACTATGACGATAAAGCCTCAAAAGCCGACCTTGAAATTAAATAATTTGCCGAATCCACTGATGAATGCACAGGGAGGCTTGCGCAAGCCAGGTCTCTCTACCTCTCTCGGGGCTCGGCTTGGCGCGCGTCTCTCTGTGAATTATAAACGGTCAAGGTCAAGGTCGAGGACTAGATCAAGATCAAGATCAAGATCGAAGTCAAGATCGAGGTCGAGGTCGAGATCGAAGTCACGGTCGCGTTCGGATACACGTAGCCCGCCATCACGAAAGTACAGGCGTAGTACATCGTCGTCGTCGAACGTTAGTGATCGGGAACACGATTATAAGTCGTTAAAAACGAAAAAGTCTACTAAAAGCAAACCGAATCATAACAGCAAGAAAACAAAGAAGACTAAACAGATGAAATCACATTTCTATTCAGAGTTTGGTTTAGCTACAGGAAACACTGAGGAATTAGGATCCAAGGAGAAATTACAACAACGTGCTGCAAGATTTAACGATACTATTTCTAGGACAGTCAGCAATGGTGTTAAAGATGATTCCTCTACAGACTTTGATTTTACCGGACTTCACATTGTTGGAATATGCAAGGATATAGAGAAACCATATTTACGTTTAACATCTGTAAGATTTCATATAATTAATCCTTATTTAAAATTGATTTGCAAAATTTGTTTTAACATTCATTGCTTTCGTGATACAGGCTCCAGCTCCCTCTGCTGTTCGACCGGTAAGTGTACTCCAAAATTCTTTGGCACATGTCAAGAAGCGCTGGGTGGTTGATCAAGACTATAGATATGCTTGTGATCAACTTAAATCTATTCGTCAAGATCTTACCGTCCAAGGTATTCGAGATGCATTTACAGTCCACGTGTACGAAACACACGCCCGCGTCGCTTTAGAAAAAGGCGATCATGAAGAATTCAACCAGTGCCAGACGCAATTAAGGATGTTGTATCAAGACGTTGGTGGAGAAAATCGATGTGAATTTATTGCCTATAGGATATTGTATTATATTTTCACAAAAAATACGCAAGGTATTTAATCGTTATATATGTAACTTAAAAGTAGTGTAATATTCTTTTCGTACGCGGACAAGAAAATTAATATTTTTGTTACAGATCTAACGACGATTTTAGCAGCATTATCGGCAGAAGACAAAACTGATGAGTGCATAAAACATGCACTCAAAGTGCGTTCAGCATGGTGGCTGGGCAACTTCCATGCCTTTTTCAAATTATACACTTCTGCTCCGAGGATGGCAGCCTTTCTAATGGATTGGTTTGTTGCAAGAGAACGCAAGAATGCATTGAAGAGCATGATAAAGTCGTACGTACTAGACTCTTTAGAAATCATTTGTATCTATTTATCAAAATATATCCGAAGAATATTTAACATTTTACAAAACATAATCATGGTAATACAAAATAATATAATGGATCAAAACATAATTAATTTGATATTGACAGGTACATTTAATTGGTAAATTGCTAGATAGCTTTTAACTTTAAAATAATTTTATTTGATAATTTTTTTGCAATTTTTTATGTCTAACAAAAAAAAATTCTTTTCATCTTTAAACAAATTTAAAATATGTTTTTATAAATAAATCTAATGAAAATATATTTAACTATTTTTTAGAAATGAAAGTACAAAAAGACGAAACAGTTGGTTATTAATTGTTCATAGAAATAAAACATTATTTTACAGATTATCATTACACAAAGGAAGTGAAAGATTGCAAATAATTTTTTTAATAATTATAATTATACTAGATTTCTGTTACAGGACATCGTAGCCGAAAAATGACTAGTTTTATAGTTATTGTTTATTTTCATTGCCCTATATGTATATTTTTTATATGTATATGTTTAATGCACAATTGTCTAACGTTACATTTCTTCTGCTGTTTAGCTACCGGCAAAATTTGGCGGTTGATTTCGTCGTAGCAGAATTGGCCTTTGAATCTTTGGACAAGTTTTATGAATTTGTCAATGAATTGGGGTTGGTTTATGCTGATCCTGAGCAACATCTAATCGACTGCAAGACAAGCAGTGGTTCTCTAGGTGCTTGGTAAAAAAGCAACATCACTCTTTTTTCATGGAAGATATATAAACAAAAACCATTGTCGTGCACATTCGTGGGCACAAATTTGTGTGTGTATATGCATATGTTTTCCGATTATATGCATATGTAGACTCTACATACATATGCATATGCATGTGCATATATTTAACTACACATTGACCTGTTACTGATAATTCTTACCATCCCCAATCATTATTCTCTTCGTTGATCGACACTACCTAGTCGAGCAACAATTTGTAAATGAAAGTTTTCCCCGCAATAATTTGTACATATATGTGTCTCAATCTCAGCCCAGCGCAAACGAAGAATCCATTTACAGGCTGACATGAATTGTACAAAAAAATTAGGATGGCCGTTTTAAAGTCGTCCGCAACTACCTCAATAGAACTCGGTATGAAACCGAGGCTCGTAGTAAATTATAAAAGAAGGGAGGAACCATAAAAAATTATCTTCAGGAAACAAACACTTCTCGTTTGGTCAGAACTTCAAATTCCTTAGATCGCAACCGATCGATCCTCCACAATTTGTTTATGTTATATATTGTATGTGTTTTTACTCTCGTGTCTGGTGATTCTCAGCATCTTTTTCCAAACACTGTCCACCAAAAGGATTTGAGATTTTTTAACCATTTGCCAAATTTTTTGCTTTATGCAAGAATACACTTTATCGCCACCTTAAAAGGGGAACTTCAACATTTCGTACTATAAATTCGCAACATAACCGCACGCGAATAGAAGTACAGTAATTATCCTTACAATAGAAAATGGTAAAGAATTGGAATTAAAGAACGTGTTGAATACACATAATTGCTATGATGGCCTTTTCGGTAAGGATCATATTGAGGGTTTGAAAAGAAATTGGCATGCTCGACAGCTAGTCGACGAAGAAGGAAGATACAAAAATCGGGAAGATTGACAAGTTATGGCTTGGTGATAACGGCACGAAACATCTATTCAAAGAAAAAGAGAGAAAAGATATTCGACGTAACGTGTTCAAGAGTCATCAATTAGGAACTTTTAACGGGACAAATGCATATTGGTATTTAACGCCATTCTCGCGTGTGAAGAGTGATTATTTTTATCTTTTTAAGTGTTTACCGCAGGACAATGTTTTTTTTTTTCCTTAATAGTCTGTTATTGATACTCAAGTGTTGAGAATTTTGTCTCCACGTTTTATCAAAAACACAGGGATACAAGGGTATAATTGAGGGAAGAAAGACATTTCATTGTACGATCACATTCGACTATGGAGTTGTACGTAATAAATTATTTAATTTTCGGATATTATATTATTTCTTAATCTATACTATACTAGAAACCTGAATTTAGCTTAAATCTAAATCTTGATTTTATTACTAATAAATCAAAAATGTATCATGTTATATTTGGATTATCTGAAGAGCGAATGATTATTAAAATTTTAATATTTTTTTGTATGTTGTTAAAAATTATAACATTGATACGGCAGTCAACATGTAAATCCAATAATCAGTGGAAGCATTCATATTTTTTATGATGCATAATGAATCTTCAGTCACTGAGAATTTCACATACGTTAACGCGCTCTTTTACTTCAAAAAAGTAATTGGTGACTGGAAAGTAAAATCTTTTATATAATTCTTTTTTGTGTTGACAAGTGGTTACATAGAAAAAATGAAGTTATATCAATGTTAATACTTTATACATAACATAGTAACACAACATTTATTTGATTTAAAAAATGAAATAATGTATAAAAATTGTTTCCATTACATGGAATAAAATCAAATTTTCATTATGCAATAAAATGTAAATGCCCCAAAAAAATGATATAAACGTCGAAAACATTTCGTTGAAGAAGAAATGTAAAATACATTGGAAGAATACAAATTTGTTACAATTCAATTATTTGTTACATTGCAAATACGGAAATTGTATAAAGCATTTTTTTATCAGTTTATTTCATGATAATTACAATACATTCTTTTTATTGATTTTAGAATGTAATGAATTTACATACCAATATAATTATTTAATGCAATTTTCTTTTCAAATTGATCAGAAGTTGTGCACGAATTACCAATAAAATTGTGCGATTTAGTTTTTAAATTTACCCATTACACAAATATTCAAATATATATATATATATATTTTTCCAATCACACGTAAGTGTGTAAAATTAACTACTGCGTCGTGAAATGCATACAATGATCTTATATTTTCGCATATCATTAGAAAATTATGAAATTCATCCATTTTAAATTCAATAATAAATAAAATATTACCGCAGCGGAAATTGAAACCGAAGATTTAATAATACAACACTTTTTTTATTCATTTCATCAAACATCGAAAAAGCTTATGAAGTGAAATATACAATTGTTGAATCTTTTTTCAAGTATTTTCACCGATGTCAAATATCTTCGGAAAATATATTTATGAAAAAGTGGCTAAGATTCGGTCTCTATGTCACTGCATTATGAATCATGATTTGATGTGCATAATAAGTTGACGTATCACAATGTTCCTAATAATTTAATTTGTGTTAGAAGAATTATATATGTCATCGCTGAAACATGTATTCGCTACACGTATTAATAAAATGTGACATTAAAATTTACTTATATAACAAGTACAAAGAAGAAAGATAAATATCTACACTTTGAATTTTAAAAGAATTATTCGTGCTAAATTTATTTCAATTTTTGTCAGTAATGCAATTCTAGGTCTATAAAAAAAAAAAAACTTTAGCTAGGTTTATTAAAATTTAGTTTAAAAAGGCAACATTCTAAATACTAATTTTTTAATATTTATAAAAAAAATCGTGTAAATTTAATAGTTGGTCATATATAATTCTTAACACGACTATCATTATTCAACATAATGCAGTTATTTCTTACGTTATTACCCAAATAAAAAATATTAACAGTGAAACGTATTTTCAAAAAAAAAATCAGGATGGCTGATAATGTCGCTGATACAGTAATTTATACAGATAGAGACACGAAACTGTTATACTGGGTGATGTTGCGTTTCAAAATGTCGGCGCACGGGCCTAAAACTCGTTCGAATCTTGCTCTGTCAAGTTTCACACATTTTAGTGGGCCCCGTGCCACAACAGTCGCTGCCCTCGGCCTGTCTAATAACAGTGCAATTTCTCCTACGGTCAGTAGAATATTATTACATTAATATCATTTTTATTTGCTATCACTTAAATTGTGTAATTATTAACGATAATTTGGAAATTCGAAAATGTACCAAAGTAATCGGATGGTCCTAAACGACCAACTTCCGCTGGTTCTTCACCCTCTGAACGTTGTTGTAAAACAACAGCCGTGCCTTCAACGATTATGTAAAAATCTTCACCTGGTTCACCCTGTCGAACTATGGTTTCACTATCATCAAATGCTACAGGTTCTAAAGCATCAGCTACTGTAAGTCGTTCCCACTTATCCAAAGATTCTAAAAATAACAGCAACTTTGAACGACATGCTCATATATTCTGGCACGTTTTCGTGGAATGTGGAATGGTACTTACCTAAAATTGAAACTCTGGAAAGAAATTCTTCGTACATTTTTCGTTTTCTTATGGTAGAACCCATGAGGATTCTTCGATAAGAATCTCTATCGATACCCCATAGTTTAACATCAGTTTTCGCTCGAACAGTCGCAGCACGCGGAGTCCCATAGATTAACGCAAGTTCACCGAAGCTTCCACCTTCTCCTATTGTTGTGGCTAGTTCACCATTCACAAAGATTTCTACCTCCCCTTGATCGATTACGTAAAAATTGTCACCTTCGTCGCCTATTAATTATAATATAACAATAAGTATTTAATTAAAACGAATTCTTAAACTTGTTGCTGATGTATATTTTTAAGCACCTTGACGAATAATTGCCTCTCCAAACAAAAATGTGACAGGGAACATAGCATCAAAAATATCAGAACGTTCGTTCTCGTCCAGATGAGCAAAAAGAACATTTTTGGCAATGGCCTTACTCAAGGCAGCCATTGTTTTATAATCCTTAGGTACGACTTTTTTAACATAACTGGTCGCATCTTCTTCAGAAACCGGCTCTGCTGAGATGCCTCCTCTACGTCTGGGAACTTGGGGGCCTTGTTGTCCAGCAGGTATATCCTCGGTATCCTCTGGACTAGTTGCAATCTGTTGCTTAGCATCGTGAGCCTGCTCCTGAAATTAAAGAGCGAAATTTGATTAATTTCATTAAAATGACTGGCGACTTTATTGCATTCAGTAAATGTTACGCAGCACGTAATTATTTTCTGATCATGAAAATGTTCAAAAACTCAATTCAGGAGAAAGTAAAAGATCTAAAATAAATATACACCTTGCACGATAATGAGGAATAGGATACCTAATTTTTATGGTTATTTTGTTTATTTACATTTACAGGTAATTGAAACATTATCGATAATGGGATTTAACGCTATTCGCATATTTTGCTCTACTTGCCTGTTGCACCATGTCGGAAGCTGATGTTTCTCCTAGGTGTTTTGTAATTATTACCTCCGATCCTATATAGCGACCAATCGATGCTTTTTAAAATAAAAAAAAAAACTTCTGCTTATGATTTATTTATCCCAAAACGAACGACACAACCCTGAAAGTGTCACGTAAGAAAAACAAGCCGCTTTTATGAGTCAATTTTTCTAAGACATGCGCAAAACAATATTGTGCCCTTCCTTTGACGAAGTCATGTACTCTTAATCTCTTAGATATATGCTGAAAACATGGGTAACATATATCGGATAAATCACAGAACATATTATGAAAAGCCATTTTTTCCATAGAAATTACTTGATATATCAAAAGCATTCCTATCCTATGTACAACAAATAATTATCTACTTTCGTTATTTGCAACTTTCTCTAACGATAAACAACATTGAATCTATTGATCTAAAAATATTATTCCTCTCATAAACCATCAACGTGACCACCACTTTGTTAAAATTTAAATTTCCTCGTCAATAACAAAGGGTAATGAAATACATTGCACGCATAAAGAAGTTAATACTTTGTCGAATTTTAAAGTATTTTCGTAAAGAAGGGAATAAAAATTTCCATAATTAGATACACCTGTAAGTATCGTTTCCTCTCTTTCGAAGATTAACTGTTTACTGTAAAATTATATAACCTATAGATAAAATATTACACGGTCTATGAACGATGAGCATCGATGAAAAGGTGAACAAATAATGCCATAGGTCACTTGGCGTTTTCACAAATGAGTGCTTCCTCGTAAATGTGTGATATAACGTAAAAACATCAAATCAATTCCCGACACGATTTTTTATACCCATCCTTTTTATACAATTAATTTTGCCATCATATATTTTATTCAAATTTAATAACAAGTAGAAATAGTTTTGAACAATACGAACGAGTATAAGCAGTATGATAAATCTTTTTTTTTTTATTTTGCATTGCATTTGTTGCAACAGACAAATATTCGTAATAAAATTGTTTCAATTCGGTTTGGTTTTTTTTTATCTATTATCGATGTTACATTCACACCATGTACGTTAATAAATTCGTCAACACTGTTCATTTGATGGCACCTATACATTAACTTATTTTATCACATTTTGTCAATTTTATTAAATCATCATAAGTTAGATTAGTTTAAATAAACTACTTTTACCTAATAAAGAAAGGGTAATGTATCAAAAGTATTTTGAGAAAAGAACAAATGCAAATATATACACACCTACAATAATACTGTTTTACGAATGTATAGATCCAACAATAGCACTGCATTTGAGAGACCAGGAAAATAATAGAGATTAGTTGGTCAATGATCTTAGCACGTGTTAAAATAATGGCATGCATTTGACGTATGAACAATTAAATACCACGTGCGTTACATCATAAAGAGAGATCATTTATCTAATCTAAATATGTTATATGATGCGTTATATGAATATTTTTAAGAAACTTCATTATGTACTTTATAATTTGCTTCTTCATAATGATTGTATAGAAAAATCAGCAAAATATTAGTCGTTATTATACGCAGTGACATCTCTCGAAGATTACCAAAGCAAAGCGATTTAACAGTATTAAACATCAAAGCATGAATTTCACATTGGTCTTGCTTAACAAATAAATACATTTAAGTAGATATATTCTATAACTCAAAAAGCTATATATAGAAATATTAAAATGTATGAAATGCACATCCAACAGTGTACGTATGAATCTTGTATAAGATCCGATATTCACGATCGTACCTCGTCCATTATCTGTCGATATTACTCGATATTCGGCACGGGCGCGTATACACGTTTTTTTTTAACCCAATTACGCGTATCTTTCTTCGCTGACACTTGATTCACACATCCGAATAAACGTAACACGACAAAAAAAAAGTCCGTGTCGGTTATTCGGAGCGAAAGTAACGCATAAACCACGACCACAGTCGTTCTTAATTGCACGCTACACGTCTACCGCGCGTCTCTTTGGAATTTTCTAAGGTCTCGCCAAATTCGATTAATACGACACGATCTTTCGTAGTATTTGTTCACGAAGTCGGCACTCCTGCCAGATGACAAATATACTGTAGGATAGACGGCGAAATTTTTCAAATCAATGGGTAACTCATTGACAGATGAAAACCGATCGGATAGCAACGTACTTCCAGCATTGCCCGTTTAAAACACATTGTCGCAGCGTGCTTTGCACATTTTTGAGGACGAAGCGTTACACACGGCTTTCGTTGTTGTTGGCTAAGGTTGCGCGCTTCGTTATATTTCGAGCATATGCTATATTTAGAGCAGCCCCTGTAGTCGCATATACCGGCTCCCTTTCTATACGTGTGTATAACCACAGCAATAAGAACTGATGACGAGTTCCTTATTTCATTGCTCGCAATTCCACGTTGCGTTTGTTTGACCGCGCAATTCACTGAGAAATGGAAACTACTATCGATCATTTTGTACAATATAGTTCTATAAAGGAACCAGCTAAATGTCTCCATTGTTTGCAGAGATACGAAAATCTTAATGTCAAGGATAACGCAGCAGAATTTCAAGGAAAAATAAGTATGTTATTGAGGAATGTTACATCAAGGACACAGCTATCGTAAAAACATCTACTTTTCATTGGAACGAGGACAAATTAAAAATAAATATTGGCTATATAAATATCAAATATAAAAATACAAATATTTGATGACGAAAGGGAAAGGATTAAAATCTTTATAATTGATAATATTAAACGTCACTCACTACTACTGACCAGTGTCTTTCACCTAAAAAGTTTGTAAAACGAATACGTTTAAATAAATATATTTAGCGCTAAGTAGTTAAGATTGTTAAAAAGAAAACTTTTAAACAAAATATTTAATTTTGTTTGTATATATCTCAAAATTGTATTTCATATTAAACTTGTTTTATTATTGCGTTTTATATTTCAGATTTTATTTTAAATTTTACACGGTGACAAATTTTTAAACGTTGTTTAGTTTGGTTAAAAATACCTTACAGACTCAAATATTTATCATAATGTTAAAAATTATGTGCATACTTGACATATACATTTTTTTCAAAATGACATTATTGAAAAATATTATAAGACATTATAAGAACAAACAAATTCTAGATAAAATATCATAAAACATGCAAAATCAAAATACATGTAAAATATATGTACATAACTAAAAAGCATATTAATGAAACATCTGTATTACTTTTTATAACAAAACATTTTATTTTTATTATGCAATGGATAAAATCTTTAATTAAATATCTTTAATTTTAATGTAAAATATAAAATTAAAATAAAGTTTATTAAATTTATATTAATGCATATTCCTTTATTTAGATTGATCAAAATAACTTTTTCATAATAAGAGAAATAAGTTCTATTTATAATAGAATTCAACATTAGCAATTCTGAGTTAACAAAATTACGACCAATAATGATTGTTCTTATACATATGTGCAGATATTAGCACACTTATATTAGTTCTTTAACAGATGGACAATACATGCATACAATTTATTCATTTTAATTAATATATTTTCTTCGTCACTCTCCTATCATTAAGGGAAAATGCATATCTTTAAAATAAAATAAAATACGTCATAAAGAACTAAATACTTTACAAGTGACAATTAAAGAAGCGAAGGATAACGAATCCGAGGTTATTTCAATGAAACATGATTCAATACGTACTCGTTCCAGTTTCTGAAAGTATTCTCTCAAGAAAGATATGGGATTTTCAGGACGTCCCACACACAGTTGCACTATACAGTCTTTTAAAACTTGTTGAATATTGTGTCTCTGTACGTATTCCTCGCACTCTCTTAAACTTTGCTCTTCCTCGAGATTCGCCGCCATATTGATACACAAGTTGACACTTTATAGCGAATACCTATTCAACAATTTCGTTCTTAACTTTAATATTGCAAATATATTATTTATCATTGTTAGATTAAATTTTTTTATATATGTAAAGAATATATACATATTTCACATGATTATTTATTCATATTATTTATTATATGGTGAGTAGACAACAATCGTACATTTCGAGGTTCAATAAAGTATGGATATTGTCAATATTATATGTACATTTGAAAATTAAAACTAAACTGCTTTTCTTTTTATCTTATTTTAATAAAATACGTCTATAATTATATAATATAGTACTCCAATAAATACAACAATAAATATTTTTAATATATATTTACATATATACATTAATAAATTAAATTTTTTATTGAAGCTAAATAAAAAACTTTCAATCCGATATTACTAAAGCATATTAATATAATTTTAATGTACATTTTAAAAAATGTTAATAAAATTTGAACCCTTCTTTTAAAAATAAAAACTTAAATAAAAATTATTTTAATATTTAAATAACAAAATAATAACATATACTATACGTGGGTGGTAGGATTTTAGAAAATATTTCAGATTTGCATTTTTAACTTCTAACAATAATATATTTTAAAACATATTGTCAATGGGTGGATAGACATTATAACACATAAACTATATTTTAAAATATAAGATAAGAATGTTTTGTATTTTTTGCTTTTAACAATTATATTTCTGCAATCCCATATCAAGCTAATATCATAATGAAAAAAATTTTCTCAAACATTTTGATAAATAATAAGAAGAAATGGGATTTCAGAATTAACAGTTTTAAACTTAAATCTTATCCTTTAGGAAATGTATGGCCATGTTCTTCTATATACACTGATATTTATATGTAACGAAGAATGATTTGAAATATTTATGTAAATGTCAATGCATTGTAGAATCCACTAAAACATTATAATCTAGAAGTATATTTTGCAGGCTTTTTAAATAGAAAAAAATATTTCATAATAGAGCAATAAATAATTTGAAAAGATTACAATATAAATTATGTCCTAATTTAGCTTACAATTTAACATGTAACATATATTTAATTCTATATATTTATATGTAAATAAATATTTACTATTTTTCTTAAAAAATTATAAATTTTCATATGGATTCTTCAATGATTGCATTTTTGAAAAGTAGCTTTTTAAATAATAACTAATAACAAATAAATACATATATCATTATGTTCAACTTTTGCAGTTCAATTTCATATCTCACTTATTTTACCTATTTAATCTAATTGTGCAGTTTTTTTTTTTTTTTTTTTAATCTAAATTTAATTATAGAATGTATGCGATGTATGTGTACAATAAAAAACAGCAATGTTATAAAATATTGCAACATATCCTACATTTAATAATTACAATTGCTTTACGGATACATTGATTTGTATCAGAATTATTTTTATAGTCTTTTAGATCTTACATTGCGAATCCAGTGATTGGTTGTTTATAAACTTCCCTGTATTTGCATTTTTTCTTTTCAATAATTTGGATCTTACTAACGATATCAACATTTGTAAAAGTTCACCGCAATACTTCTGTAATTAAATCCAGTAATGGGTTTCACTTAATCTCTAAACTATATTATTGTTTAATATCATATGCATATAATCTCTTTCTAAAAAACAAAATAAAAGGAAAACATGATTTTAATAAAAATGCTATAAAATACTAGAATATAATACAAATCTCTTCTTCCTAGAGTGCCTTTTAGTAATAAAACATTATAGGATTTAAAGTTTTGACCATGGTAACACTTTGATAATTTAGTCTTTTAGCCTTATAAAAGAAGCATAATTAATTATATTTTAGATAAAAACAAATTTTTTATATAATTGCTATTGTATTATATATATTTATATAGGCACTTTCTACAAGTAATTGGAGATTTTTTAAATGTGCAGTGAAAATGAATAAGAAATTTTCAGCAATTTTCTTTCTTATTACTAAAATCCATTTCTATGTAAGTGCTAAAAATATGTCTCTTTTTATAATAAATCACCAACTAAGAAAGTTGTGTAACTAATTGATGAATAGAATATATTTATATATGCAATTGTAAGCACACACAATTTTATTATTTTTTTTTTTTTTTGAGATGGTTATGATAAAATTCTTGTAATATCTTAACAATAAAAATCGTGTATCATGATTAATACAAAGTGCAGTTTGTAATCTAAATAGCATTTGTTTTACTCCTTCATTCATTATGTACTTATTGCTCTAAATAGATTTGTAAGTTGATAGATTAATTGCACAGAGTGTGATACTTGTTCCAAAAGTTACTTTAATGTACTTAATAACATTACAATTTTTAAACGTAATAGAGGAAAATGAAATCTTATGATGTAGTAAGAAATTCTTACATCATAAAATTTGCATATAATAAAAATATATGCAGAAAATAAAATTTTCAATTTTGAATCTATTTTCTCTAGATTAATGTTATGCCTATAAATAAAAATCTATTTAAAAATGCACTGCTAAAATTCAAGAAGCAATTTAATTACTTATAAAACTTATTCAATGATACGCTTTAATTTCATAATCTATCCCCCTGTAGTCTATCTTTCATCATTTACATATTTGTAAAGGAAGTTTTTTAATAAATGGCCACCATGGTCTACTGTTACTACTTATTGCTATTAGATTATTACCATGATTTTGTTTCATTCAAATAATACTGATTTAAAATTAATATCAAGCTATAATCTCAAATATTAATATTTAACATAAAATGAAATTTTCTAATACGTTTGTTGATATTAGATGCATAAAATCTGTTGTTCTAAAGAACTATACAACTTTGATGCTTAACTTATTAATTACATCTTGTTCATGGTTTTTAAGGCACCAGATATACATGAAAGATAAATTAACACGTAAACGTGCAACTCATTGTTGAAAGAAGATTGCCTTATCATTGGAACTTAAAAATCATGAACGAGCGCGAGTTCCATTTTTGAAATTTCTGACTTAACGTTTCTCTTCTCATAGTAAATGCAAATATGATTGTTAAATAAAAATAAATGCCATATAAAACGCTTTTAGAACTAAAACAACAATATTTATATTTTATAATTAAGTAATGCATTAAAATATAAATTTCTTCAAAGATTTCTAAACTACTAAGTATAAAAAATAAATAGCAGTGCGTAATTAATAGTAAGGTACATAATAATGTGTATAAATAAAATAACGATTGGCAATCAGTATCGTTATCTATAAAAATGCACCGATATTCCATAGAAATAAAATTGGAAGTTTTCAAGTAAAACACTTATATAATTTTTTGCAAAAACGCTAAATATCTTCCTCAAAAATTGACTAGTATTTGACATGACTTTGATCTAATTCATTAACTAGAATATTTCTATACGTTCATGGAAATATATGAATGCTGAACAGTGATCCATTCTCTGATTTATTTGGCAGTAATACTTACTTCGACCTTACGGAGTTGTCGATGTTAAAAATGTTGGATCAACTGCAGCAACCTTTGCAGTTAAAAATGCATGCATACAGAATAATAAATTCTGTACTTGAGAACATTCCAATTCCTAGAAAGGAATTAAAATTGACATACAAAAAATAAAATTTATGCCCTTCTTATGACAAATAAGTACCTTTGTTTCAATAGCAATACTATCTGATTCTTGAAAGTGTAATTTCAGTCTACTTTTCCCATCATCGCTAGATCCTCTTAATTGTGAAAATTTATAACGCCATACAGTCTCACCAATGTCTTCATAAGAAAGTGTAAAACCTTGAGTCCATTCTAAAGTTAAACCTGCACTTCTACCATTAAAAGTGACTGGAAATGTTTTACTCTGTAAAAAAAAAAAGAAAAAAAAGAGGGGGAAAGAAAAAACATTGACAATAGGAAAAATTCCAAAAGTAACATAATTTTATGTATTTTTAACAAAACAGAAATTTATTACTAACTTTCAAATGTGTAACAGCTGAACACACTGCAGTATGCCATGCTGCTTCAACTCTTAAAAGTTCCTGCCTAGTTTCGACACTTAGATATCGTGGAGGCTTACCCGGACTTTGCGCTAAAAAGCAGTGTTGTCTTTCATCTACATTTTCGGATTCTCGCATTACACGAAACATTGTTTGATATACTTTAAAAGTTAGTGCACATCGTGACCAATCTCCTATATTGCACTAAATATAAATCATAGCATTTAACTGTACAATACACATTGTTAAAGTTTATTGTATCATGTGTCAATCATTAAAACTTACAGGAGGTGTTTCAAATAATAACAAATCAGGTCCTTTTAACGCTAAAAACCTCGGTCTATAACTTTGCCATGGCTGATTACTATTACTTACTGCTTCATTAACCCATCCCATGTATTCTATGCGTTCACCGACTCCGAAATTGCGGTTATATAATTTCATCTGGTAAATAATTATATAGATTATAAATGATTATATAATTACTATATATAAATTAATTCATAGAATATTTTTCACCTGTAAATGTGTTAAACCTGTAATATTATCAGTAATATATTTTAACCATTGACTCAGAATCGCACTATCATCACAGTGTATGACACCCGTTCGTGCACCATTTAGTCCTCTTACTTCAAATGCATTTCTTCTTAGCTTATCTGTTCCAAAGATATATCTTGTCACATAAGCCATCATCAATGGAACTGAAATTACATTGTCTTATAATTTATTGTCTTTCTTAAATAATGAAAAACATTAAAACACATTATCACAACCTGTTATAACATCTACCCATTTCCTATATTGCACTGAAGTGGCAGATGCATTTGAACTTTGTCGACTATGACCACATCTAGGACTACCACCTTGTCTATTAGGTGACAACCATTCATCTTCTGAACTACCATTGGCAACATTATCTAATTTCTCCTCTTTTTCTAAAAATAGTATTAATATTTTAAATTATAATTAAAGATATTTTTAAATATTAAAATTTATTAAATACTATTTTTACCATTTTGTTGTAGAAATGGCTTTGCTGAACGATAATGTTTCACTGTTAAAACAACTATATCACCAGCATTTCTCAAAATGTTAACAGCATCATCATGATTACATGCAGTTATGTATTCTCCATTTACTATGAAAAAGTTATATGTGTTTTATACTTTATAATATCAAATTAATGATAAAATAAAAGTTTTTAAAATTACTTTGCTACAATTTCCACTAATAGCTTTAATCTAACTTTGACTTTATAATAATACAGCTGAACTGAAAACGCTATTTCAAAGGAAGAAACCAATATTGACAGGTTTGACACAAATACAATAAGTATTGAAGACTGCCTATATACAGAAATACAATTCTCATTGATAGTACATTTTTTGATATGGCAAATATCAAAGCTGGTATAATTTATAAAAATTTATTTACCATGATTAAAAAGCACATAAAATTTAAAATGTTATTTTCTAATAATGCGTATTTTATGATTAATCTACCTTTAATAATTGCATCTCCTACAAACAGTTGTCCACATTGATCAGCTGCTTGGCCTTTGTAAATTCTAGATATAAGTACAGGAAGTTTATGCTCTGCTCCTCCCTTTATACTTAATCCCAATCCTCCAACTTTTTGTCTAGTTATTTGCACCATTCTTTCTTTAGCATTTAATGGTGGCTTATTATGATTTGCTGCCTGCTGAAAATCATTATTGTTTCTTATAAACTACATAAAATAATGATGATGGCAAAAATAATAATATTAAACATTACCTCTAAATCTTCTCTTTGAAGTTTTAAAACTTCCATAGACAGATGTAAACGCATTGGTACTGGTTTACTTTTCCCATCACTAACACTCACCATTCCTGTCCTTACCTTTTTAAAGATAAGAAAAATTTTAATCTTATATATTTTAATTTATTATTAAATTGAATATTTATCTTTAATTATTAATTTATTTTTTAATTATAGATATTACATATTTCAGTCATGACTAATACATTATAAAATAAAATCTAATTTTTATAGGGATTACAAATATTCATATATATTGATTAAATAACTGTATTACTTAAGTGTTTTGCACACATGTATTCATAATACATATGTATTCAATTATACTTAAATAGTTCATTCTACATTCATAATTGTCTATTCTTATTTATATAAAATTAATTATTTAACATATCTTGATATTTAACTAATCATAAATTGAAATAAAAAACAAAAACTTCCTTTACTATTATCTTTTTAGTATCACACTATGGCACTTGTAATATACATTTCTGAAAGTAAAAAGTACAATTTTTTAAGATGTATCTATTTTATATTTATTTCATTATTTTAAAACAAAGTAATCTAAAAATCAGCGACGCTTAAATTATAGAATAAGTGGATTTCAACATTTTTTCTTATATTTGTCATATTTGGATATAAAAAAATTATCAGTAAACAATGAAACATTTAAAAAATGAAGCATATTAATTGCTCACCTTCAGCTTCTGATCAATCTTCTCCTCGATCGGAGTACTCATTTTCGTTGCGTTGATTCTCATTATTTAATATAATTATGCAGCTCTTACATACAAGTCCCCGTATTGCCAAATGCAAATTAACGGGGTTGATAAAGTTTCATAAATCGTTGGTATAGCAAATAACATATTAATTCCACACGAATCGTTTGACACAACTACGACAAGTACTTGAACGATGAAAAAGTAAGATCATATTCTTATTGTTTGCTAAAAAAAATGTCGCAATGTATTCGCAGAATATATCTACTTAGAGATTCACAATATTTTAGGATAAGACACATTCATTGAAAGTTCTGATTTTTCAAACCGTACATCGTGACGTTTTGAAACGTTCGGGTAAGGCAAAAACTTCGTAAACCGGGACGCAGAAAAATTGGAGTGGGCTAAAAGTAGCTAAAAGCCCGCGGCTGAGGCGCATCGATTTATACAATGCAGTGCGCATCGATGATATTCGTTTGTTTCAAATAGCGGGAAACATAAAAATTGAAAACCTCACTACTGTAAATGTAATGTAAATGTAATGTAATATATAGTAGTGTAATGTATATAATAAAAGCAAAATTTATTATAAATATAATAAAAATAAAATTTCTATTTCATTTTTGACCAGTTTGCATTATTAAAATTAATATTTAATCAATAAATTATATTATAATTGTACAATAGAATACAATATATTTCATTCTATTTTTAAGGATTCAAAATATGTATTATATATGCAGAATAGAAAATAAACAATTTTTCATTATAACAAAATATTTCCAGTACTGTAATGCACAATTATTACATTGAAAAATATTTAAACAAAATGTAAATACAATATTCTGATTAATGTTTTATTTATAAATGCATAATTAAACAGAAGAGATGATCCTTTATTATTAACAATGAATACAAAAATAAGTCTATACAATTTTCTTTATATTTTTTACTTTCTTTCTTACTTTACAACTAAGTTCTTTAATTACAATTTATACTTATTTTTTAAAGTAAAAAATAATATTTTACAATATTATTATAGTAATACCAAGTTTTGTTAATTTTACATATTCCGCATATTTTATTAGAAGAAAAAAATGTGCGAATAATAGCTTTAATTAAAAAATATCATCTACAAAATTATACATTATACAAAATATTCTTCTTTAAATAAATTTAAACAATTATTTTTAATATGAGTTATTATGAAAACATAATCGTTTTCAGAAAATCATAAGATGCATTTATAACTCCCCAACTTATAAATGATCTCATACAATTTAAATGCACACCATTGTAAAATGACATTATACTTCTATTCCTTACAATATATATTTCACGAGTTACAGTCATAAATTTTTCAAAATTACCACCTATCTTTGACTGCATATGTATTTTTATTACATTCATAGGGTAAAATACAGTACTTGTAAAGCCACCTATTAAAGCACCATTAATGAAACTTGTTAATAATGACTCTTGTTCACCTATCAATTTTTTTGATTTTTCCTTCAGAATAAAAAACATAAGATTTGACCAACTATTCCTATATATAATTGGAACTAATCCACGATAACATTCAGATATACCATAATTTTTTAATAAATATTTAAATGCATGAGAAGTATTTTTAAATTTATCATGATACCGCCAATCTTGTAGCAATGTTTGTACTCTTTCAAGGGGCATAAGTATAGCCTCAGCAGTACCAGCAAAATGAGCTGCTATTATTCTAATTAATATATCATTATTTGTTAATGTGCACAGTCGTTCCTTGCAACCTTCATACATACTAAACATTACACTAACCGAAAGAGTTTTTTGGCAAAGGGGTGGTAGAATTCCACGGTATATTAATCGTATTCCTTCTCTAGATATCTGTTGAAACGCAGTATTGGCTGGAACATCTTCCAAAATCTATCATAGTAAGAGAAATCTATTTACATAAATTTATTAATTAATATATTATTAAATAATTTGTTTTATATACCTGTCTAAATATAATTTTATTAATAGGAAATGTAATAGATACATTAATAACTGCAGCTCCCCAGCCACAAACAAACTCTTTAAAGTCATTATTATTAAGGGTAAATAATGATCTTAATGAGACATTTTGTGAAGTAATGTTACTCATATTAATATTATATGTAATAATTTCTTTTAACTATAATTTAGAGCAACACATCATGTTTATATCTTTTAAATCATCTTTTTTATCGTTTGAATTAAATAAATTATTTACCTGTAATCAATAAATAATTATAAGTTTAATATATAACATATTTTATAGTTGTTCACATTATATAATTTTCAGATAGTGCAATTACAGATCACAGATATATAATTTTATAAACATGCTACTTACATCTTGCACGATTCATGATTCACTCCAACCTCACTTCATATGTACGTAAAATTTGACCTAAATATGTTTTTTAATTCACCAAATTTTCAACCTACATTTCCTACTTAAATACAATGGAACAGTACTAATTATTCATATGTCATATTGCATCGTTAAAATTTCAAAGTTTTTTTTTTTTTTATAAAACTTGGTAAGGTAACCAATTAAAGTCACATATTCGGACCAATCAAAATTTACAAAACTTTAAACTTCAAAATATATTTTTAAAGATACATTTACAAAAGTTTTCACTTAGGAAGTAATAATTATATGTATATTCTTGATTTACAAGAAAGATATAATTATGAAAATGTAAATTTTTTTAAAATTTTATTTATAGAAGTATGAATTTTTTATAATAATAAAAGTTATAACAACTTAAAGATATAGTACACAATTTGCAATGAGGATATAGCAAAATGATAAAATAATAAAAATTAAATTTTTAAAATAAATATTAAAATATGGACCATGTATAACATTTGTTTAGGTATTTTTAATTGGTACTTCTAATTAATATATAAATAAAAATAGTATGATGTGAATATAAAATTATCAGCTATTGATATTTAAATCCATCGATATAGGTATTCATACATATATGTATGTGCTATCCATATGTATAAAACGCACTTGTGCATTTATATGTTAGTTCATTTTTCGTAAGAGTAGGATAGAATTAAAACCTTGTCCTAATTTCGTAAAAGTATCAAGTTTGTTATTTTTTGTTGTATCGAGGTTTTATTTTAAAGTGTACAAATTATTTTTACGGTTATTTTATTATATACGTATAAATATATATTAAAACTTCCACATAAATATCAGTTACGAAAATGCTACGAGTAACAAATTATATTGGGCTAAAATCACAAAATTTCATCAAAATTATTAATTCGAATATTAGGTAAATTATTTTTCTATTAATTATATTATACAATTCTTCAGTGTATATTGTAGTAGAATTATTATTATTATATATTCTAAGAGTATTACTGTGCAATCTATAATTAAAATTGTGTCAAGTAATAACTAATAATTAACTTTCAAAAAACAGCAGACTACTGTATTATATTTATGTGTAAATTGATATTTAAGTTCTTTTATTTTATACTAAGAAATTCGACCAAATTTTTGTCAATTAAATTATTACTTAGTTATTATATAAATTCATAAATCAATATTACAAATATTTATATTATTATTATTGTCAGCTAATTGTACTTTGAACTAATGACACATATAAATAGATTCTATTTTGTTTTTTCCTTGTTAGGTAGACATATACATTAGAGTAACAGAAAAATAATAAGAAATAGATAGGTATATAAATTCTACTATTACACAAGCTGCTGTAAAAAGAACAGAAGAAAAAACAGAAAAAGGTGCAGCTACAAAGTCTCAATCTTTTGTCAGGAATATTTTCATTGGTCAGTTAGAAACTAGCCAAATATTTCCATTTCCAGAAGTATTAAATGATGAGCAAATTGACACATTAAAATTATTAATTGATCCTATAGAAAAATTTTATGAGGTAATAAAGCTATAACAAAACAAAAAAATTTTTTATTTTTCTATAGTAAATGCTGATCAGTCTGATATAAATCTTTATTTAAAGAAAATAAATGATCCAATGAAAAATGATGACAATGCATCTATAGATCAGAAAACATTGCAAGCCATGTGGGAACTTGGAGTATTTTGTCTTCAAGTTCCTCAGAAATATGGTGGATTAGGATTAAATAATAGTCAATATAGCAGGTGTGTTGAAATATGTGGATATCATGATTTAGGTATTGGTATTACTTTAGGTGCACATCAAAGTATTGGATTTAAGGTATACTTTTTATTTGGTTACATATGATATTTCCTCTAAAAACTATAATTCAATCTTATCTAATTCACTTAGGGAATACTTTTATATGGTACACCAGAACAAAAAGAAAAATATCTTCCAAGAGTTTGCAATGGAGAATATGCAGCATTTTGTCTCACAGAACCAAGCAGTGGTTCAGATGCTGGTTCAATTCGCTCTCGTGCAGTAAAATCAGCAGATGGTTCACATTATGTATTAAATGGCAATAAAATTTGGATATCAAATGGTGGTTTAGCAGAAATTATGACAGTTTTTGCACAAGTTCCTGTGAAAGATTCAGAAACTGGTGAAACTAAAGATAAAGTTACTGCATTTATTGTTGAAAGATCGTTTGGTGGTGTAACAAATGGACCACCAGAGAAAAAAATGGGTATTAAATGCAGCAATACAGCTGAAGTTTATTTTGAAAATGTCAAAATACCTGCAGAAAATGTTATAAAGGGTGAAGGACAAGGTTTTTCGGTACTAATTGTTTTAAGTACAAAATAACTAAAGATTCAAAAAGATATTTGATACACATCTTGTATTTTATCAGGTTGCAATGAATGTCTTAAATAATGGTCGATTTGGTATGGCTGCTGCTCTTTCTGGAACTATGCGTTATTGTATTAGGAAAGCAGTTGAACATGCAACACAAAGAGTACAATTTGGACACACAATAGATTATTATGGAAGTACCCAAGAAAAGTTAGGTCGCATGGCGATGTTGCAATATGTAACTGAAAGTCTTGCATATTCAATTGCAGCTAATATGGATAATGGAAGTCAGGATTATTATTTAGAAGCAGCAATTTCTAAAGTAAGATTGATTTGAAAACGTGAAGCTAAGTATTTGTTTATTTGATTACCTTAAAATAATTATTCTAGTGCTTTGCATCAGAAGCTGCATGGTGGGTTTGTGATGAAGCTATTCAAATATTGGGTGGAATGGGATACATGAAAGATACTGGACTCGAACGAGTTATGCGAGATTTGCGTATTTTCAGAATTTTTGAAGGAACTAACGATGTTCTTCGTATTTTTGTTGTTCTTTCTGGACTTCAACACATGGGAATCCATTTGCGACAAATAATGTCAGCATTTAAAATTCCTACCATCAATTTAGGACTGATCTTTGAAGAATTAAGCAAAAGAGCAATGCGAACAATTGGATTAGCATCAACACGTAATCTTACACAATTAGTTCATCCTAATTTACATAAAAGTGCTACATTATGTGCCAAGGTTTATAATGGTTTATAGTATTGATACAAATGCATCAATAATTAATTTTGGTTAATTTATGAATAATTATTTGTAGAGTATAGAAGCATTTGGTCAAAGTATAGAAGGTGCTGTTCTTAAATATGGTCCAAATGCTATTGTGGAACAACAATTTATTCTTAATAGATTAGCTCAAGCAGCATTTGATATCTACACTATGGCTACTGTATTAAGTAGAGCAACTTTAGCTGCAAATAAAAACCTTCCGAGTATGGAGCACGAACTTCTTATGAGTGAAACATGGTGCTTAGAAGTATGTATCTATTCTTACTAATACTTAAGCTTATTTTTATTTGTAATAATTCTATTAATTATAATATAGGCAAGCAGACGTGTGAATTCTAATCTAAAATTTGATAAACAATTAAATGTGTTTAATAACTTAAGCAGAATTTCAAAGAATATGTGCGATATTGGTGGATGTGTTCAATTAAATCCATTAGGTCTTTAATGATAAAATCAATCATTAAATATGTTAAATCAAGGACCATACATGGATATTAAATGATCGTAAGCCTTTTACTTAAAATAATATAGTAGTGTAACAAGTACCACAACAATTATTAATACCATAAAATACCCTAATATTAACAATTGGGATGTATAAAATAGTTGTATAAAACAATTTGTTAATTTTAATAAGTAATTTGTTAGGAGTACTGAATTCATACCTATATTGAAAATTTTTTGATATTTTTACACAAAACAGATATTGTAAATAAATTGTTATAAAAAATATACACTTGAAAGTAGATGCTGTTTATTTTTCATTAAATCTCACAAAATAGCGAATTGAATGCTTAAGAAATAGAGTAATGTACAGTAAATTTGTGTAGTTTTTTATATAATAAATTAAATGTAAATAGAATTCCTTTTTACCATACATTTAAAAATGTTTGATAACATTATTCCTATTTCCGTTTTCATTTAAGATGATATTAAATATAAGAAAAAAAGTACCACAGTATTTTAATTCATAATTAATATCAATCCTTGATTATTTTTTTTCTAATTGTAATATAAATGCACAATTTAACAATATCACAACATTACACAAAGGTAAGAATATACTTTCTGATCATTTTTTTTATCTGTCTATAATATGGAAGCACATAGAATATAGCCATTGTACAATTTAACTTTTACAGCATCCATATAAGACATCAATAACATTAAGTGTGAAGTGAAGTACATGCAGAAACATAAAATTGCGTATTTCATTACTATAAAAAGTATTACTTAAGTTTGAGATTCAAACCATCAATTTTTTTTACAATTTTTAAAATAAAGTTATCGTTAATTATACACTAAAAATTCTGATTATATAAAAATTAACAATGAAATAATATGTAATAAGAGTTATTTTATTGTTCCATTACAATTTTTCAACTATACATTGGCAGTGTTTTCCTCCAATTTGTGACAATTAATTATAGACCAATTTGATTCTCAAACTTTAAGTTATTTAAAATGTTTAACATGTTTAATAAATATCATTCAAACGCAAATAAGGTGGTATGAAACTAATATGATGAGGTATGATTTTATTACTGAATGTTTAGAACATGAAATTGGAAAGAATTTACCATTGTTGATAGATACAACTGTGATCCATAACTTTTCAGAAAAATAGAATATTAGATTATTTCTTAGTGTTTGTGTTACTCCAGGTATGCAATCTTATCTTTAAAAACATATGACTTCTATAATATGAACTCACAATCTGTTAATATATTTGTGTGTTTCTCCTATGAACTATACCTTATGGTCTAATAAGCCTTTATAAGAATAGTAGTAAATATATTATCACGAATAAAAAGAAGCACAGTTAAATTCAAATGAGAATTGATATATTAAAATATAGAAACAAAGAACAATTTTATGATTAATATAACAATTTTTAATACCATATTCACTTGATAAATTCTCCACTTTCACATTACTTTTAGTTTTTATATCACAACCCTGATGTTCCTTTATAAGAAAATAACTGTTCGCATTTTATAAAGTTGTAGATAATTTAATGAGTCAACTTGAATTCATTGGAATAAACCTGACTCAAGTATTGTCTAATTAATGTATCGATAATTTGTTTCCTGAGAAATATTTCTATGATTTTACGATTCGTCTATCTATTATGTTTTTACGAAAATAATAACAATGAAAATGCGATTTTCTGTATACATTTTTTAATATACAGAAACATATATCTTAATAGCCTAAGTAATAGTGTTCTATAAATGTGAATAGCAACCATATTTTATTTCATTCTTTTTGTATATGTAAATAATTATATGAACTATTTAGAACATTTGTAAAATAATATACCTAAAAATTAATTTTCAAAACATGTGCTGTCCTATTCTTTTACGTTTAAGCAAAATCTCTCTTTCGTTGCATATTGTTATTTTACATAAATTACCTTCATAAAAATTGTATATGTAGTGAACTAATTAATAATTTGTAATATTGTTTAAAATTATGATTTAGTAGGAAATTTATGAATATAATATAAAAAAGCTTCCAAGTACAAAGTAGTGAATGATATAGGAAAACCAAGTTTGTTAATGCTTAAAATTAATTCTAATTAGGAAACTAATTTTAGAGCAAAAATGAAACTCTTAGAAATTAAGTAAATGTCATATACATGAAAATTAGCTTTGTATTTTTAATTGTTATTTTATATGAAGCTATTCAACAAAATAGAAAAGGACTTTAAACTTTCATTAATACTATTTTAATATTATAGTCACAACATTTATAACACACAAATGTAATCACAAAAAAATGGAATAAATTTAACATGATGAAATCAAGTCTTTATGTATTAAATCATTATTTTTATGTATTTTTATAAATTGATTTTTTATAATATTTTAGACATATGAAACAAATATCTACATAATCAAAAAAAATATGATATTGTTATTAATCTATAGTAAAAATTAAAAATTAAAACTTATTCATTTCATTAATAAACAATGATTTTTTATCATTAATTACCACATATGTACTTACAAGCTTGTAGATTTTTAATGACATAGTATCACTACCTGGAGTAACTTATAAGAGTTAGAAAAGCTAACCCTGTGCTATAGACAAATTTTTAAATGTTTGTCCATTCCAAGCAACTGAGATACAATAATGTTGCAATAACTGAATTAAAAGTTCTCGCTCATCCAACATTTCTATATGTTCGATTCGACTACGATCATCTTGAGGCAGTGAATCATAGACTTCTACCATTGTCCATGCATTAGAGCCTTCCCAATTGTTTATTGTAAAGCTGAAATATATAATACAAGTTATATTTTTCATAAAACATTAATTACTTCTAAGATAATACACAAAGTAAACAAAAAAATTTGTGTACCGCCTTTGTTGAGTTTCCAAAGATTCACAATCTTCTACACCTGCTAACAAACATCCACGACTACGTAAATTAGACAACATAACTTGACCAAATTTATCCTTCATGTTCAATTGCTCATAATTAACAAAAATACTATTTGGAAATTTTCCGGCAAGCCATTTTAATAATCCAGAAGCTGCACTAGTGTCTATATACACTAAGACACATTCTGCAAGGAACATGGTTGGAAGATTAAAATTAACTTCTGCTTGTGTTAATTTATTAATAAGTTCAGATATGTGCCGCAGATCCATTCCCACCAAGTGATAGTTGGCAGCATGTAGATCTGTTGTTGAAAACCTAATTTCTCCATCTGTAAAATAAATATTAACTAACAAAAATTATTTTGCTTTTATACACAAGTCAAAAACTATAGAACATTACTTTACCTTCTGTATTTAACATATCTATCAATTGCTTATGTTTTTTGATGTGATAACATTTTCTAGCGGTAATGCTAGGAAAATCAAGTTCTATAAAATTTGCTGGACTTTTTCCTGCTTCCTTAAGTCTCCAATAAAGTGTGTCAAATCCAGCACCCAAGTTTATAATTTGTCCCTTTTCTCCAGATAACTACATTTGTCATAAATTAATTTCTAATTTAATTTAATTAATTAATAGTTAAATTAATGATAATTAGTAGTTAGAGAACAAAAATAAAATTAATTTTGTTAATTATGAAAGTACACAAATTATTTAACAATTATGAGTACAGTTTCAATTGTTTGTAATTTTTGTGCAAAAAAATGTAATATCTACATAAGATTAACCTATTTTACTGTTTCACGATAAAAAGAGGACTTTGGAAATTAGGACAGGGCCTCGGCCAGGTCAAGGTTTCCGGCATTGCACGTCCTTTGCTACTCAAATCAGCTGTATCCCGGATTGTTTCTATCATGTTCTAGGTTATGCCAATTTTGGAGTTGTAATAATCAAATTTAAAGAAAACGAAATTAGTACATACCTTGAGGAATTTGTCAACAAACACTTCAATCCCCTTCACTCTCGCATAGTAACCACGATTGATTTCAGGCGCTTTTCGTCCAGTTTGTTTTACGAAAAAGTTGATAAATGGATCGGACCAGTAACCAAGTTGCACCGCATATCTTTTACATTCACTTGCATCATCATTAGTGGCCTGTATGGCCTCATCATCAGCCATATCTTTGATCATTACACCAATTTCGGTTCACTTCAGTTATGATAAATCATTATTCGACGTTTTCTTAATGTGGAAACCGTTACTTGTCACTCATAGAAAACTGTACAAGCAACCATACTGCTTAAGACTGTGTAGAGACTGCTGTAGACTCGCATCTACTTGCGGCGCAAGCTTGCGCCTGCTGTGCGGGTTATCTGACAGTAGGGGTATCCCAACCATTATCTTACTTTAATACATATTACATGTGCATGGAACATAAACGCATCTCACTTATAGTTTGATTTATAATCAATTTCAATTATAACTTTTATTAATATTGATATTTATAGATTAATTAATACAATTTCTTTTACATAAGATTTAAAAAAATTTATATTTTATATGAAAAATGGAATCAATAATTATATCTGCTATTAAATAAAGTGCAAATTTCTTAAAAAAAAAATTTTTTTCCATTTTCTAAATATCTTTTGTTAATTTTTTTAAAAATATTTAATAATACTAAATATATAATTTTAATGATGTATCTATTTATTCATTATCATAAATATTAAATAAATTTGGTACAGGATTATTTAATTAATATAGCATAGGGAAACATGGGCACACAAATTAATTTGCAAGATTATCAAGTTTTACAAATTAAAATGGATTATTTTCAAATGGGTAATAAATAAGACTGTGTATGTTTTTACCTTAAGAATGTATTCAAACACAATGTTGGACAATGAATTTTTTAAATTAAAAATTTATATAATGATAGTATAATTGCATACTATATATGACTATGTGTGTATATGCATAAGTATACAAAGATACAAATTGATACATATAAATGTATAAACGTGTGATTATTCTTTATAACATTTCTTCATCAATAATTCTAAAGAATGTAAAGATATTCTGTTTGTGAAAGTAATTATCATTTTAAAACTTTTGTTAAAATAATATATATTTTATAATTAATCAATCACAGCTACTCATATATATGTTACTAAATAAATTGAAGCTAATAAATGAATAAAAAATTAGTTAAAACACATATTAAAATAATATATATATAGTATTAACAATTACAAAAAATTATACCTTAGATGGTATTAATTTTATCCCAATATATGTAAACAAATAGATAGGGTATAATATAAAAAAGCTTTATTTAGTACTGACACATGGTTAAAAAATGGACATGTAATAAAATATATATAAATTACGAAGCAAAACATTACATTGGAATATAATGTTATCTAACAAAATTCCAAAATATCAAAAGAAAGACATCAAAGCTGTGGGTGATACGGTTTGAAATATATTAAAAATATAAAAAATTAGGAAAGACTAGTAAGTATCACCTTTTATCCTTTTTATAATTTTCAGTTTTTCAACTTTCATGTAGAGTATTTAAATAATTATTGTCAACTTTCGTAATATAACTACTGTTCTATATCAGATTTTTTAATTAATTTTGCAGTTGTGGTTTTTGTTTTTCTCTTAGGTGGAATTGGTGCATCAGAAGTACTAGATGATGGGGTTTCAGAAACAGCAGTATCAGTAACAGGAGTTTGCAATGCTTTCACACCTTTTTTAACCACTTTTACAGATTTTTTTTGTTTACTGGAAGAACTACTGTCTGTTGCACCATCTTCCAATCCTTCCTCTGATTTTGTTTTTGTTTTCCTTGTAACCTTTTTCATTATCTTTTTTGCTACTTTTTTTTCAGTACCATCACCATCAGTTGTTTCTATAGGTTTTCCTTCTGATATTGATTTTTGTATGGGTTTCTTAGCTACTTTTTCTTGGTCTGCTGAGTCTGATTGTGCCGTTTTTGGAACACTTGTTAAAGGTGCATTTAATTCTTTTGTTCTTGAAGGTCTAACTGGAGTTTTACCTGATGATGGTTTAGTTACTTCATATTCTGTTAGAATATCAGTTAATTTTATTGTTTCTTTTATGCAGCATTCATCTTCTGTACTTTGTTGTTCTAATTCTATTGTTTCTGTTTGCATTGGTTTCTCTGGTGTTTCTAAGTTTCCAGAAGATAATACAGATATTTCTGTAAGTTGAGGTTGAATTTTCTCTACAGGCAATGACATTTGTGAAGTAGTATTAATTTTATCCCAATATATGTAAACAAATAGATAGGGTATAATATAAAAAAGCTTTATTTAGTACTGACACATGGTTAAAAAATGGACATGTAATAAAATATATATAAATTACGAAGCAAAACATTACATTGGAATATAATGTTATCTAACAAAATTCCAAAATATCAAAAGAAAGACATCAAAGCTGTGGGTGATACGGTTTGAAATATATTAAAAATATAAAAAATTAGGAAAGACTAGTAAGTATCACCTTTTATCCTTTTTATAATTTTCAGTTTTTCAACTTTCATGTAGAGTATTTAAATAATTATTGTCAACTTTCGTAATATAACTACTGTTCTATATCAGATTTTTTAATTAATTTTGCAGTTGTGGTTTTTGTTTTTCTCTTAGGTGGAATTGGTGCATCAGAAGTACTAGATGATGGGGTTTCAGAAACAGCAGTATCAGTAACAGGAGTTTGCAATGCTTTCACACCTTTTTTAACCACTTTTACAGATTTTTTTTGTTTACTGGAAGAACTACTGTCTGTTGCACCATCTTCCAATCCTTCCTCTGATTTTGTTTTTGTTTTCCTTGTAACCTTTTTCATTATCTTTTTTGCTACTTTTTTTTCAGTACCATCACCATCAGTTGTTTCTATAGGTTTTCCTTCTGATATTGATTTTTGTATGGGTTTCTTAGCTACTTTTTCTTGGTCTGCTGAGTCTGATTGTGCCGTTTTTGGAACACTTGTTAAAGGTGCATTTAATTCTTTTGTTCTTGAAGGTCTAACTGGAGTTTTACCTGATGATGGTTTAGTTACTTCATATTCTGTTAGAATATCAGTTAATTTTATTGTTTCTTTTATGCAGCATTCATCTTCTGTACTTTGTTGTTCTAATTCTATTGTTTCTGTTTGCATTGGTTTCTCTGGTGTTTCTAAGTTTCCAGAAGATAATACAGATATTTCTGTAAGTTGAGGTTGAATTTTCTCTACAGGCAATGACATTTGTGAAGTTTCTTCCAATTTTAATAACGATTCATTTAATTTACTGGCAGTATCAATATTCTTTATAGTTGTGGTATTATCCAAACTTAATTTTTCTTTATCTTGTGCAAAGTCATTTTTTGATGATGTCGGACTATTTATATGTATTTTATCTTCTGTTTCTGTTAAATGTACTGATGTAATTGTAGAAGGAAGAATTTCTTGTGGTATCATCTGAAAATCTGACATAGATTTTTTTGGTTCCATTTGTAATACAGATTCTGCAACTTGAATTGGAACAGAGCTAACTGTTAGAATTTCGGAAGCTGTTAACAACTGTTTTGTATGTTTTTCATTTTTAATATCTGGTTGTTTTATTTGGTGGATATCAACAGTAATTTTAAGATCTTCTACATTCTTTAATTTATTTTCCGATTCTTGTGTTGTGCTAATTTCTTTTTGTTCTTCGATTAAACCAGATTGAATTAAGTTAGATGATATAATAGGTACAGATGTCTGTTGTGTATCTTCTTTTACTAATGAACTTGTATTAAATTCTACAACTTCTTTATGAGATGCTTGTGTTGAAAGATTTGTAGAAGATGAATCCATAAATGTTCCACTTCCTGGTTTTGTTGAAAATATTTGAGGAATTTCACTTTTGCTCTTTTGATCTTCAGATAATTTAGGTACGTTTGTTATAGGAACATTATTAACTAGAGATTGTGCTTTACTATGACTGGTTGTTGCCTGAGCTAAATAATGAAAAATAATTATGTTATATGTACATTCATATAATGTTTATAGAAATGCAATTTAATAAATTTCTTGCTTAATAATTTTCATATCTAAATTTGATTATTTTTATACAAGATAAAAAATATAAAAATAATGTGTAACATTAAAATTATGTGTAAATAACATTTGATTTGCCTAAAGTTAGATTTTAATATATTCCTGAAAAAAGTTCTAATTTTAATATAAGGAATACAATGATAGTGATTGAAACTGTTATTGCAAATGTGCTCTTATAAAATGCTATTTAGTATAATGGAATGCAAATATTTTGAATTAATTTAAAGCACATGAAACATAAAATTAGTAGTTTTATTATATTACACAAGCATTAGAAATGTAATGTTAAGAAAGATGATGTAGAAATATCATGCATGTGACGATTACTACTTTATTTTTTAGTACAATATTATGTTTGTATTAAGCATTAAATGCTTAAGAACTCTTTGTTTCTAAATATATATAAATAAGCTATGTAAATACAATCGCGTTTCATAAAATTATTTTAAAGAATTTAAAACACTCTACCACTGAATAATTGAATAATGAATTAATATTAATTTATTTTACATTCTTTTAATTTATAAGTAAAAGAAATGGAAATTTTAAGTGATATTAGAACACATAAAGATTATATCATAAATGATATGATATTATATATGATTTATTGTAAAACGATATAATTTTAATAAAGCAAGTTTTAACATATTCTGTGTGCTGGTTTAGTTGTGTACCACAAATTTTTTAATTTACTTAAAAATCGCGAATTGATGGTGATGCGAGTTCTTAAAATATTTACCCCATTAAAGCAAAACGACATTACAAGACGTAGCAATGCTATGGCGCCAGGATCTGTTAGTTGCTGTCCTCCGTTCCTGTTTCAAACACTTGATAACTTGAAACAACTTGATAAACTGTATAAAAAACATATATTTTTTCACTTGTTTACATTACACCAAAATTTTCCAGTATATCATTAAGTACAATTTAATTTTATTCAAATTAAATTCTTATTATAAAATTTGTACCTCCAAATGTACAAATCTCCGAATGCCACATGCTGTATTAAAAAAAGGGGGAAAATAAAATCGCAAAGCATGTTTATAAAAACAGTTAATGGCTTTGCATTACGAGCACTTTAATTTTCAAGTATGTATACACAGTTTCCATTATTATCCGAAATTTGTATTATGTAAAACCAAGTCTCAAATTCTTCCTAAACTGATATGCAGTCGTAATTGCCATATAGTAAAAAATATAATTTCTACTTCAAAAATTTTGTTCCTTTTTTATACTATTTTTTACCAAATTACTTTTATAATCACAAAATATTTATAAAAAATAATTCTATGCATAGTTTGTATATAAAAATAATACATACCAGGTCTTTTATCCACTTCATCTAGAGATTCAACACTGCTTTGATTAGTTTCAGCTGATTCAACACATTCATCAGTCTTGTCAATTGTAGTTTTAAGAGGCTTTTGTGTTTCTTGTATTTCCTAAAAATTACATTACATATATTCATATATAAATTGTATTTGTGTCATTTTATCATGTACCATTCAGTTGCTTACCTTACGATGGGATGATAATTGAGGTGGTACAAAGTCGACTGTTTCGCGAATTTTTTTCCAGATATTATCAAAACTATCACGACCCATATAATCTATATGACCTTCTTCCCAACTCTGTTTTCGCATACGTTCCTCTAATGCTATTTGTGTAAGGCTTTTAGGACTACCCAATGTCATTTCAGCCAAGGCACCAGCAAGACCAGCCTGTGAAATCAAAAAGAATATTCCTATTTATGAATTTATAGTATGATAAAATGAAAATATATAAAAACATACAGTAGAATTATATCAGTGTATATTTATATTGAGTACTTGGACAAGTTACCTTACATGATTGTTGTATCTGATAATGATGCTACATAAATATATATACTATAAACATGAAACAATATAACACACAAATCTGATATAAATAAATGACACGATATCAGATCATATATATAACAACAGATGAAGTTATAAATTGAAAGAAACTGTAAATTCCTTTGGAACAATCTTTTCTCTTTAATGCTGCACTTATAGAATAAGAGAGAAGGGATCAAAAATATAAAAAACAAAAAATACTTGTCAGTACTACTAAAAATATTTAATAACAAAAATTGTGTAATAAATATTGCAAGCTGCAAGTAATGTCCCAAAAACTAAATATGCAAGCAATATAATTAAGTTTGCAATGTAATTGCTAAAGCAATATATTGAAACTTCATAAATATAAAGGAAATTCTAAAAGGTAACAAGAGAGTATTTTTTACTTTAGTTTAAAGCTAAATATATGGGAACAATTACTTACATTTGAACTATTTAGATCATCCATTATGTGTGGATCAGATTGCGTTGCTACATTGTGGAAATCTGTACAAGGTTTGGAATCAGGATGAGGATTAGTAAATGTTAGTGTACCTATCTGATTGTCAGCAACGTTTACATTTTCATTTTGTTCAGTATTTTGCTTAATTAAAATATCATTTTGGTAAGCTATGTTATTTTGCACATGATGGTCATGATCAATATTGATCTCTAGAGCTTGACAAGTTTCATTTTCTTGTTCATAATGTTGAGAAGATTGTTTATTATTTACATTATTAAACATTTGACAATGACTACAATGATGATCAACATAAGACTCATTATGTTGATGTTGTATCTCTTCTGACAATGATTTATTGCTATTATTAAAGGAATGTTGAGAAATGTGTGCATAGTCAACTTGTTGATTGTTTTGCTCCTTTTCTTTTAATACTAATCTGTTATTGTTAGTACTTTCAGGAAAACACTGATAGTCAACATGCTGATGTTGAGATTCACTAGAATGATGATGTACTCTATGCATAGGTACACAATTTTCTATATTATGATTACATTGTACATTTAAAGTAGATGTATCACTAGGATGAGAAAACAATTGATGTTGCTCAGTTTCATTCATAAATTGATTAGTTTGTATTTGATTATGATAATGTTCAGTATATGAAGAAGAAATATAATCATTATATTGTTGATTATGATAGAATTCCCTATTATGGTCTGATGACGATTCATAATGAGTTTGATGAATAGACTTTAAATAGCTAAATTGATCACTTAATACAGTTGTAGATGAAGAACTGTTGATTGTGGGAGTGGAATAATACTGTTGTCTTTCATTTTTTTCTGCTTCATGGGTAACTGAATCATTCTGCACATGATAATTCTCCCATGGATCTTGAAACTCTGAAAAATCTGGTGGTTCTAGATATATATCATTTGGTGTTTTGTTTTGTATATCTGTGTAAATAGGACTTCTTGGAATAGAGGATTCAAAAGACATAGGAGAAAATTCGTGCCAAATTGGTGCCAATGTGCTGGTAGCCTATGCAAGCATCATGCCAAAACAGAAAAATGCATATTCAATTGGTTAGTAGAAAACTAATTTAACAGTGTCCATTTTTCTTGTATATTTTATTGTAATAAAAAATCGTCATTAGAAACTAAATGATTACATAAAATAACATTTTATAAATCTAAAGCCTAAAACATTCTCTTTTCATATATGATGTTTTAAATACATACATGTAAACAGATATAGTAATTATAATAAATATTAAGTAATATTATGTGAAAACACAAGAATATATTGACTGTTACAAACATAACGAAGGAGGAAAAAAAATGGACACTGATCTACAAAAAAATATTACAAAAAAATTAAGTTAAGACATATTAATAGCTGTGATATTTAAAAAATTTGATAAAATTTTTCAAGTTCTTTTTTACTTATACAAATTTTATATTGATTCAGCTATTAATATTTATATTAAAAAGTATATCTAAAGAATGAAAAATCGCAAATATATTTTAAATATAACAAAATACATAACATATTAGAAAATACCACTCGTAATTAATTATTATTGTAATAATTTGTAAAAAAAAATGTAGTATAATTAAGTAATTTATAATTGAGTGATTCCTAAGTTAAGAATTGTCTTATATTATTATTTAAAATAATTACACACACATTCAATTTTATTCTAAAAAGAAAATTTTACCAAAAAATCCATAAAGATTAAGAAATTAAATTTTTAAAAGATCTCTTGACATACTTTGATTTTAACATAGTAATTTTTATACATGTTATTTATGGTGATATTGTTTTGTTATGTGCAGTATGTACAGTTTTAACTACATTTTATTAAGCATGTTTACATGTAAAAGTGCACGATTGTTCTTCTGAAATGTTATCTGTACTATTTCTAAATATAATTACAAAATTTTTACTACATGAATGGTATGATATTTTAATATGAGCAATAAAAGCATATTATTTAAACCTTACCTGTGATTTAATTACATTTAAAACTATAATAAAACTCAGATAAAATACAAAATACAGAATTATAAAAAAACAAACATTTTCAAATAGTGTAACGTTATGTAAATATTTATAAGTCATATCTAAAACTCACTGATATAATACATTTATTAAAAAATGGTTAATAAAACTTACCATAGTAGATGATAACTGAGGATGAACTTTTTCACAAAATATATTCCACCATAATTGTAATAATGGTTGCAGATGTGTAGAACCCCTTAGTGGTTGAACAATACCAGTCAAAGGATCAAAATACTGTAACCACGGTTTTGTAGAACCAATAAAATGTATTATTCTAACATCATCCCCAAATCTAACAAACAACAATATTCACAGTCATTTTATCTTCTATTTATGTATTATTTACATGAAAAAGTGAATCTTATAGATAATATATATGACATAAAAGAAGAATTGTCATAGAGTAAACACAACTCATTTTCTTACTGTTTGAATGCAGGAAGATAAGAATAAGTAGCAGTAGAACACATATTATAGATAAATGGTAAATGTTTAGAAATATCTTTGCGGGCCCAATCACTGAAGTACATATTTAGTAATCCTTGGTCACCACCATCAAATGAACCTTTATCAGCAGCCATTGCAGTAAGATTAGTAAAAGTTTGTAGGGATGGTTTGTATACAAATACACCAGAATTAAAACAATCGGGCCAACCCACATCAGGAGCAGCAGATAGTTCTTCTCTTTCAAACAATTCATCACAATTTTTAATGACCTAATATACATGTAATATAGAAAGTAAAAACACGAAATTCTTCTAAAAAGCAAGTTAACATGTTGTCATTAGAACGACTTTATCATTTTAAGTATTATTTTGTAAACTTACAAGTGTGTCTGCATCAAGAAACACACATTTCTCATATTGAGTCAATCTCCAACAATGCAGTTTGGTAAATGTAACACCCAATTCTGGTCTAGCTAAAAGTGCCAAATTAGCTTCATCTTTTGAATCAAATATATCTACTTCCATTACTACAGAAAAGACTCTTGACAATCTATCCCTAAAGATAATTGAAAAGAATATTTCAGTTCTATGACAATAATGATAAAAATGTGTTAATGATAATTTACTTTAAGCAAAGATTATGTGCACGATTTAATTCGATTTAATTCGCGATTTAAATACAAAGAAAAGATATATACACATATATTTTTATCAACTATAAATTTTTTCTTCAAAAAATTTTCGTCGATAGAACTTTCGTGATTGGTGTATTTAAAATTGAATAATAGAGAAAGATTAAATAATATTAAGTCACTTAGACTTACCTCATACTTTGCGATACACCAGGAGAAACAGTTAAGATAGCCAATTCATACTTGGTATTAACGCGACGTAGAGAATGTGCCAAAACTAAGGCCCCCAGAGAATAAGCGTCATTGGTAGCTAATGTAACCCAGGCGTATCCTTAAAATTGCAGTAATATATTATCAGAAATAATTTTCCAAGAATAATAAAACAATCATAATTAACAAAGAGACAAAAAACGAAATATAGTGATCGATATTTCTTGATGATTGTGTGTATAAATTACAATGTTTGTATGTATCTGTATTCCTTACTGATAACCTTGGTATTTACCGCATCGTTATGCATATAAATTGATAAGCTTGTCATGTCATGTGTGAAATTAACTGTGTACAGATGTTGAAGTATTGATTCTTGAATTGTCTTTGATATTACATCATTAATACTATAAGTAGAAATGCATTTTTCTCCTGACATGAATACATAGCTTACTATTGATAACATTCTATTAGTGCCATTGACTCCGTTACGTTCCTTATCTTTCTAGCAATTACGTAAACCCGAAGTATTACTCTACTAATAGTAACATAAATAATACATATAGTAACATAATACATAAATAATATACAGCTATTACAAATAATACAAGAACAAATATGACTTTTAATTCTTTGAAAATGATTTAGAAGTAACCATTTAATTGTATGCATTGAAAAATATACACCGTTTAATAAAGTGTATACTTAAACATTTTCCTAAGTGATAAAGATAGAAGATGCATGTACTAGAGATCCATTTGACCTAAGCAAGTGAACTTAAATGCGTTCAACTTGTTTTTCACCAATAAGAAAACCACCGTTGCCACTTTATTTATAACCCCTTCTATTTCTATTTCGTAAATGTCATCGCGTGGCTTGCCCTGGCTAGCTAGTGAATCTCGAGAAATTTGATTCCAAAATAAAAACGCTATTTTTAACTATTTATTGCGATATTACATTTGTTCCAGTAATCGTCCGTCAACTAGAGTATAATACAAAAACGTACATCTAAACGAAAGATCAAATGTTTTATCATACTTCTGTTATAATAATTGATTATCTGTATTTCGACTAAATCTTGCATGAAATAAGTATTTTTAATTTTTAAATATATTTAAATATCCAAATTTCATCCAATACGAATATCGTCATCGATTCTATTTCTTCTTAGAGATAAATTGTGGAGATAGATAGTAGAATTAGAGACTAAGATAATAATTAATATTCTTTATTACCTCATTACTTAAAAATTTCATTGTTTTGATTAAAATAATAAGTCAATATGTAAAATGACGTCGTGGATATTTTGCATAAATTATGGGATTATGCGTGTTATTATAGTTCTAATAGTTATAAATACGTGTTTATAATTATCCTCCGGAAGCAGTTCAAGAATCAACAGAGGATGCCTGATAAAATTCGATCGACTTTACTACGTAGCACGTGTTTCACAAAACGCAACGTGTAGAACTTCATATACTTAATAATTCTAGAATTATTCCATACAGTCTCTCCCGTAAACCTTGAAAATATACCGTTCACGTTTCTGGAAAGACTGTGTTGTACGTATTGACATTGAATGAAATATTAGGTTTCCAACGTTAGGTGCATTTCACGAGGTTATCATTATAATCACGAGAGTAATATTTTCGTAAAATACCGGTATGCAATGCAATAAATTAAAGATTCTCTAATTAACAATTATTAAATTGTTGGTAATTAGATTTAATAATTAGACTCACTATCAATTGATTGAACCTTATAATTCATTGGTGAACATTGTTTATATATTTAACCATACTATGATATAATACAGTTAACTCCACTATTTAAATTCAAGTTCAATTATAGTTTTATTCATCATTAATAAACAGGATTTATCGATATATTCAATACTTAAAGAAATTTTAATAGAAGTTCAGAAAATGATAGAATTAAAAAATTAAATGTAATTTTATCAAATTATTGGTACCACGGTATTACAAATATCTTTTTCTCTCTAACATCACATAGAAAGTGGACCAGAGTAGATAGAGACTATTTTTGCCAAAATTACTTCAATTAGTAATTTTATATTTTTAGAAGTAGTCAGTGTTAATTTATATAACATTCTATGTTAAGATTTTGTTATCAATTATATGAAATGTTTGATATCATTTCAGAATTATACGAGTAATATCATTAGGATTTCGTAATTTATCGAGCGGTTTCTCGAGTAAAAGCATTTATGAAAATTTTTTATTTAACATGATGTTTGCGGAATTTTCATGAAGGCAGTTTATATTAAAGATATATTAAAAAAGAAATTGAATGCAATGAATGCAAAGCAACTGTGAATCATGAGCGTCGAGAGAACAGTGAAAGGGGCTGAGAAAGAGAATAGATACAGAAGAAAAGCTCGGATTTCTGCTACCGGTGTATCCCGAAACATAACGCGTTGGATCGCATCGAATGCGATCGTTTACATCTTTACTAAAATTATTTACACTAATGATTATAAAACTGATTGAAGTCAACAGTTCAGGAAAATGGTAAAAATGCAATGCAATTAAAGTTATTATTATGATCACTGGTTCATTTATAATCATCAATACCTTTCTAACAATAGAATTTAAACTGTTCAATATAATAAAATAAACTTTTAAAATTCAGTAAAAGTATCATTATATTAAACACTTTCCTCATTTTTAATATTCACTTTCAATTCTTATATATGCGATTACTTACAAAGTTCAATCGTACTAATAATCACTAAATTTCAATATTTCATCATTTATACAAAAATAAATAAGTTCTCATTTTGCATTTAACGACTTATAAATTCGAAAATTCGACTTGGCTTTTCTAAAAATACCCAATATAAACGGAGGCAATTCGTTGTGTTGTATTTCGTCATTTAATTACACGTGGATCCAAGTTGATCCGATGACCGGAGGAAACATGTTAGCTTCGTAATGTTCCTCGATTTTGGCAACGATATCTCTCTATCTGTCTCTGGTTTGTCGACATTATCGTAAGGTGTGTTAAAAAATACAAAACATTTATCTTGGCTATGAGAAAGGCAGTACTCGGCTTCTCGCATATTGTAATACGCAGACGAAACCCGAGAGGCAGAGTGCCGGCGTCGTTGTGCCACACAGGTTTATATTTATACAAGCCGACCAGCTTATAATAGCAACCCAGCCTCGCGTTTGTACAAAATGCATTCATATACCTTGCCTTAGGTCAAGCACTTGTCTCCCAGGTCTAACCAGATTTCCTTATATGATCATACTCAGACACATGTCTATGAATCGACACTTTCTCCCACATGCTCGCAATGCGAATAACCCATTGTTACTGCTGTTTAATTTGGGACGATGTTCATGAGATACTTTCCTCGATTACATTTTTATACCATCGATTGCAATTTCGATGACAAATTTCATGTTACACTGCGAGAAATAAAGTTAGAATTGCGGTAATCCTTCTGAGAATTGAAGAATTAAAATTCTACAAATTTTTCTAAAAAATTTTAGCTTGAAATTTTACTTTAATGTTTGTTCTGAGAGATGATACCATTTTAATGAACAATTTAAATTAATTTAATAACTACGAAACTAATGAATTTCTCCATTTTATAGATCCAATTTTATTCATCTACTGCACCGGTTACGCAAATATATTGCTGAGAAATTCTTTATCCAGTAGTTCAAAATACATGTAAATATAGGGAAAAAAATGTGTAAAAAGAGTTAAGATAAGTTTAGATAATTATCACTTTGAATAATCCGCTTCTTTCATTTCTTTGGTACCCATAGCTTTTTTTCATTCTTCTTCTCAAATATCAGGATCAAAAAGCGGAATTAGCAGAACATTATGGGCACACATATGATGTATGAGAGCACAGAATTAAGAATAGAAAAAAGGAACAAAAGAGATCGTATTTAATTAGAAATCCGTTCTATAAAGAGGTACAGTGCGAATCATGAAGTACGTCTAGACAAACGTTGCAATCTAGAATTCTGTGCCCAGTCTAGACGAAGGTCAAGAGTGAATCTATATAAAAATAGTGTAGGGCTATTTCGTGTCAATCTTGGTACAATGAACTTAACGAATTAAACTTCTATTCTAATGTGACGGTATTAAATGCGAGCTTGCATGTTTCATTTGGAATTAATTTTCAAATGCTACACTTTTATAGTATTCATGTAACGATATAGTAATCCACTTTCTTTCTCTTTTTTTCAGATGTCTAAAAATTGTTTCATGGTATCATTTTTGATAAGACGATAAATCTCAAATAAGCAAAAGGGAGCATCGAGCATAACTACTTGATGAATGCCAGAATTTTGTTTCTTTTTCCTCCTTTATGAATAAAGATTCTTTATAGGTATATCGCGGGTTGCTGTTACATTATCGTGGCACGTTGATCGATAAACATTAATATCATTGTATTAACATTAAGTAATCCCCAATAACGAAAATCTCCAACTAGATAATGCGAATTAAATGTAATTAATGTTGGAACTAAATATTTACAATAAAATCAAGATAGAAAAGCATGAAAGCTACCACTTATTTCTTTTTAGTATGTATCTTTTAAAAAGATATTGGGTACAGAGTATCTGGTATAAATAAAGTGACATTAGTGGGAAATTTTTCATATAGACGAAGCAATTTTACCGGGTTCAAAATAAATGTCGAGACAGAGGAAATTTGGCAAAGAGCCGCAATTTCTCTCTCTAATGACTAAGAATAAACTCTAGGAATTCCACTGATAGTTACCTTATTTTATGTTAGAGGAATCTTATTCTAATACGGAAAGCAATACAAAAAAGATAATACAAATTTTTGCACCCATTATTTTTTTACTTTACTACAGTATTTCTGTTTTTTATGCCACATAAATAATTTATTTTAATATAAAGATGAGAAATAAAATTATTATAATTAATCAAATTTTTTAACTTTTTATTTCTAATTTTAAAGGGTGTGTCATGTTAGATTTTTAAATATGGCCGCTTAATTATGTTCACAAGAGTATTCGCTGTTAAAAACAAAAGGTAATAATTCAATATTTACAAATCATTTCAAAATGTAATTAAGCAAAAAGTAATTAATGAAAAATTAGTTAATTACAACACAAAGTAAAAAACATCAAATTCAGATCAAGTTTCTATCAAAGAGCAAAAGAAGCTTTTACGCATGCGTTCAAAAGAAATATAAAACAGCGCGAATTGAAATCATGTTCACGAAATAATTAGAAAGAAACAAAAGCGTTTTAAGTCGTTGGTAAGATATTTCAAGAGGATAGTAATTTTTAGATGCCAACAATAAATTACACGAAAACAATTGAATAAAAATGTGCACTTTCAATGTTTTAAGAGGTTATTGCTCGTTGTCTATGGAAGATATAATTCATATGAAGGTCATTGGGTCAAGACCGGTTACCGGCGACGTTATCACACACCCCAAATGAACTCTCAATGAACGTAATCTTTTAGCAAGGTACGCAAAAAAGAAAAGTTGAAATATGTATTATAAGACTTGAACTTACTACCCATAGTTGCAAAAATTTGACTTCTTCTCCAACGAATCGTTTTTCTACACTCAACACTTGCCGATGCCCGGATAACTAACAAGAAGCCGTACGCACTTCATCAGCGCTACAAAACGAGTAACGACTTACGATTCTCCTTCCATGTCATGTTACTATCCCCACCTTTTATACCGCGTGGCCCTTACTCTACATTATCGACTGAAGATTCTATAGTTACTATCACCACGAATAATATGTATAATAGATTTTGTAATAACAATTTTTTAACATTTTGACTATAGATTTATTAGCCACAGTTTTATAATATAACATTAATAATATTGATGTTGTTAATTGATATCAAATATCAAATTTTGGAAGAATAAAATGTTAATTTCTTTATACATTTAATAGAATATAGTTCTCAATTAAGGAAAACAAATTTTATTTCATACTTTTATTATAAATTTATTTTACATTTACTTACATGTGAAAAATGATATTTTACATAATAATTTTATGTTCAAGAGAACATAAAACATAATTTTTATGATGAAAGCAATTTTCAGTGAAATATCCCTGTATGTTTAGTAATATCCACGTGAACAATAATCAAGTAAAAATGCGAATATAAAATTGTTGGTAGAAAATAGAGATTAAATAAAAAAACATTCAGCCGGTCATTCATCTCACGCACAAATTAAATATAAATTAAGTATAATGACCAAACACAATGCAATATATCTAATAATTCATATGTACAAATTTCACAACCATTCGCGACACCTGCCGCGAAAACACTGCGGTAAGTGATGCGTCGTTTCAGTTCCGGGCGTTCCTCGACGACAAACAAACATGTATCGTGTAGCGGGAGGAGATACGACAGTGGACAAAATTCTAACGATTTGTTCGCTTGTGCGCTATAATCCTTCCAATTCTGGTGTAAACAGTTTGACACCATAAAATGTAGCTAACTCTTTAGATCGAATCTGTCGTGGTGACTGAAAAACTGCACATCCATGAGATCAACTTTCGTTTCCCTTCAGCACGTTAACGTTTGCTGAGGAGTGGCGCGCAAAAAGATGGCCAGCTCGCCGACCAGTATCGAAAATCAAATAGACAGTTTTTTGGAACAGTTCAAACGCAGTGCCTCCCGCGCAATGGAGGAATCTCATAGATCCAGTTATAATGCTTGCAGCAGTAGTATCAGTCATAGCCGAAGTGGAAATTTGGATCTCGAGATTTTGGAAGCTGGTAAGTCAAAATTTTGTGATTTTAAGACAATATATTGTTGTACCTGATGTAAATTTTATTTATTTTCTATTATTCTTCCTATTATTTTCTTTAGTATATGCATGCTCTTTTAATTTCCCACTATTGTCGATTGATTTTTCGGGCGTTTCTTGTATATTTCAATGCACTCGTTTCTTAATGTTATCAGTTTAAATATATTTAAGACAATTCTCCATAGTTTTCTTGCTATGATTTTTGTTCAACTATATTCATTATAATCGTGTTTAATGTGTTTTATTATGAATGTAACATGTGTTAAGTTTTTAATTTTGCTAATACATAGTCCTTTTGTTATTATTGTATCAGTAATTAAATATATAAATGTTTTAATAGAGTAATAATTACGCAAAGACATCTTTTATAATGTAACTTAAAAATTATAGTTTATTTAAATAGTAAATATTTTATACATTAATTTTTATAATTGTATCAAAATTATTACTACAATTATATCGTATAATGGAAATATTATTGCATATATATATTCATATTCTTTTCCATAACATAAATATAATGATCAAAAGAAATAATAACAAATAAATAAATGAAGCTTTTGTAATCAAACATATTTTTAAATTTAGAATGAAGTAGTAGAATGTTAAAATTATATTTATTTTGATTTAAACATTTTGGTAGTGACACGCTGCAAGTCACGTGCAGTTATCCCTCTGTGGAAATTAAGTCTTTCGTGATTGGTTGTTTCTTCTTGCTTTTACCTCGATAGTGAAGCATTATGGCGTCGCATTTCTGGTAGGTTACGATAGAGGTCGTCGGCCGTTGTAGTTGTTTTATGGTGAGAAGTCATGAAACTGTAGGGTTGCAAGAAACATACAATAGACTTGTAAAAGAAAGTATCAAATCAATATATTATCATTTATATTGTAATTATAAAATTTTGCATTCATATAGAATATCGTAGAAATACTAATTAATTATTTTATTCTTGCGTGGAGTGATAGCGTTGCAGTTATTTGGATATTAGGGTGCATAGGAATTATTGAAAATACAAACTACAATATTCGAATAAGAAACAGAAAGCGGTATTAACATAAATTACATTAAATTGATATACGCGATAAAATTAAACTGACTCGTACATCAGTAATAAAATAGTTTGATAATAGTAATAAATAAACAATAAATAAAATCATTACGCGAAGTGTTAACTTCATTGATAATACCGCGTGGTATTTTGTAACGTATAAAAATCGACTGGTGAAATAAAAAAAAAGAACAACATGATTCTTCGACGAAAACCGGTGCATGGCTGCAATTGTCCCTGTCATCAGCATTGCTCGTCGAAATGTGCAGGTTTGAATTATATATTTTCTCTACTAATTTCTAAATTAATTTAATATTAATATAAATAAATGTTACTAAATTAATGTAATATGTTCACGTATAAAGTTCTGAAATTAAAATTGCGAACAGCACAAACGATTATTATATTTTCTTTTCGGAGCTTTGTTCGAGCTATAAACAGATTATTGATTTGTAAGACTACCCTAATCATTTACATATTGACTTTAGTTATGTTATAAATAATCAGTATTATAATTAAATCAATATAATCTTAATTGATTGATAACTTATATAAATGCTCATTAATTTTATATGTAAAAGTCATGTAATATTCTTACAACTTTTAAAATATGTGTTATACATATATATTTATTTCTGATATATTTATTTGAACAGTATTTTGCTTTCATTTGAATATATTTAAATATATCCTGTATTGACGTGATAATGAATTATTCTCTAAATATTTAATAGATAAATTTATCACAATGTCTTTTATGTTATGTATGATATAATCGTATCATAATTAAATGAAATTTAAATCAATTGTATGATGGATATGTGAAATTTAACGGTATACTATTTTTCGACGATTTATACGAGTATCACGTGGAAATTGTCCCATTTACACGGGACTGATGCTGTTATCCCCTCCACGAAATATTAAGAAATAGATTCGCCATATCGTTGAACGTGTGCTTTATTGTGTTAACCGGTATTATTTAGATTTATAAGAAATTGGTACCGTGACAGTATTCATTTATAAATGTGGTATTTTTTAAAAAACAATATAATTGACGTCGTTAAAATAGTTGCGAAGTTAAACTAAAAAAAGGTAAGTAAAATTTGACTTGCCACATACCATAAAGATGGAAAGCCATTGTTGTGTGTAGCGATTCTCAACCTTGTCAATGTCGGATGTATTTTTTAAAATAAAAATTACAGAAATAGATTCGTTTTTGTTTTTATTGTTTGTATCGTACGTTGAAGTTTCGTTTATTTTACTTTATACTTCTTAAATACTTTTTGTTCAACAAATTTTATGATTGGTATAAAGGCATACATAAGTGACATTGTAATCAGCTGATCATTTGTTTGGAATCTTTATTTGAAGTTTTTATTATATGATATTTTATAAATACATGATATCACATTTCTAGTTTTAATTTTATTTATTTTCGTTCGTATAGTTTTATCATTGAAATATTACAGTTTACCAGAATATATAAAGTGTATAAAAGCCAACTCACATAATATTAAATGGAATATGGATACTAATTTATGTGAAAAAAATGAGGTAGTAATGCAAGCAGATATAGTAACATTGCAAAATACCTTATGTAATAAAAGCCAAAAGATAGAAGTATCTAATTGTCAATGTATGGTTAATGATGAGTTGACATATATACAAACAAGAGAAAAGGTAAGTGAACATCTGTATTTAATTTGTATGAAAATGGGTCTTAGGCTTGTAATGACATGTTTCAATATCAATTATATTTTTAATTTTATAATAACTAATATTATATTAAAGTATAAAATTATATGAATAATGTATTTAATAGCATTTTGTATAATATACGAAAGTCTTTCATATTATAGAAAACGCATATGGATACAACAAGTACAGCCTTCAAGCCAAAGAAGAATGTGACAAAATCGAAGGTGAAGAAGCATAAAAGTGAAGGAGAATCAAATTCTGAATCTACAAAGTTAGAAGATAATCTAACTCAAGTATTAGAAAGATTTAGAAGAGGTTGTGAATGTCAAGATGACCAGTGCTTTAGAGGCTTAAATCCTGAAACAGTGTATCGTCACAGACTAAATATTGCAGAGTTAACCAAGGGTGAACATGATATGTATTTAATGGGTGTTACCATGGCTTGTTTAACTAATCCATATGAGACAGCACGACATACAGAGCGACGTAGATTGCGTGCACAATATGTATATCAGGGTAGAAGAGTTTGTTTAGATGCTTTTTTATATTTAGAAAACTGTACGCATTATCAAATAAAACGAATTAGGAAACATTTAATGACCCATGGTGTCACACCACGAGTTCATGGTAATCATGGAAAAATACCACACAACACATTTTCTTTAGATATTTATAAAATTGCTACAGAATTTTTAAAAAATTTTATTGAATTACAAGAAACGAAACAAAAAACAAAGATTGCAAAAAATGCACAATTACATCTTCCATCGGATATTACACGTAAAATAGTGTATGATTCATACATACAGTATTGTAGAAAAATATCTCCTGATATAAAAATAATGGGATATTCAACATTTAGAAGATTTATGAAAGTTCAATTTCCACAAGTAAAATTTGCTAAATTAGAATTTATGATTAGAAGTCAAAGTATACAAAATCAAGGATGTAGTAAAAGTGACTTGGAGAAGAAGGATGTAAATGATGATGGACCATCTGAATCAGCAAATTTGGTAACAGAGAGTAGTACCTTATTACCCTTATTAATTGCTAGTGAAACAGGACAAAGTGATACTTATTTTTTAACACCAGTTAAGAAACTACAAGATGGTATAAGTTATCAGATAACTACAAGTGGACTTCTAGTCAATAAACCAGCATTACCTGTCTAGGATAAGTGATGATTACAAAATAAAATTGTTAATATTTAATATTTAAATATAATCATGAAGATATTACATAAATGAAAAAATATATATCCAAACTGAATATTTAAGGGATATTTTAAACATTAGATTTTATAAAGCAATAATGCACAGATATGTAATAAAATGGTTATATTTTTTTTATATGGTTATATTGTCATAGTTAAAAAATATTATATCTGAGGTAAACTAAGTGTTCAGAAAATAGTATATTAATGATTTTTTATTAGTTAATAAAAATATGCTTATCAATTATTAGTATCTTATGGTATTTTTCATATTATCTTACTTTATACAAATATTTATCTTACAAATTAAATTTTTTTAATTAAAAAATATTTTATCAAAGAAAAAGTAATCATAATTTATGATTTGATGTGTGATTGTGTTATATTGATATTTACAATCTGTAAAACAGATATATAATAAACAGTATGAATAATAAATAATTTGTATTTTTATAATTTATGAGTACTTTTTTTATTACCTTATATTAATAATTTGGAATAATTGCATATTTTAAGCAAAGATATAGAAATATCAATTATATTCTATCAGTGTCTCTCAAATTATATAGAATATATATTAACATATTACACATTAAATTGTTAATGTTTAAAATTGAAAATAATGCTATTTTGTAAAGTACTTATAAAAATCAGATATTTTAAGAAGTTAATAAAAGTACAAACTTTATAAATAAATGTTTAACAATTATTTAAATATGATATGATACAAGTTTAATTTATAATAAACAATTTATATACGACATTACTTGATCTCATATATATATATTACTTAATCTTAAATACATTTTATTATTAATGACTATGTATAAAGTATGATTTTAAAAGAAATTTGTTTTTCTATAATATAGTATAATTCATACAATATTAATTTAAAGTTTGAGAGCCTCTTACTTTACAGTTATAGTTGAAATATTGTTGGTACAGCAGAAAACTGTTTCAGTTAGTTAGAATCAGCAAGGTCATACAAGTGCATTGTGAGGACTCACACTGACATACACTAAATATTGCATAAGTGATTATTAACATACTTTGATTAAAAATTTTATTTTAAATAATTACAAAATTGTATATTCTAGAAATTTCTTTTACTATAAAGTATATGTACAGTTTATTTATAAACATATTACTCAATTATTGTATTATATTGAACATTATTTAAATATACTATGGACATGTGTATATTATGATGATAAATATATATTATAACAGGACAAATGTAAATATTATAAATTATAACATTATTTAATATTACATGTACTTATATTATGTATTTTTGTGCTCTAAAATATGTAATGTACTTGGTTTTACATTTCATAGAAGATGTAGAGAGTATGACAGGTGAGATTGAAAATGGAGATTTGGCAATTCGGGATGTTGCAGACCTTCTTCAATCACAGTATGCTATTATAGCAGGTGAGATAAAGTTTCATTAGCTATTAAAATGTATATCATTTAACTGTTCAATTTTTTGGAATAAAATATTTTGCATATATAGGTGGAAAAACTCGAGAAGGATGTCCCATAATTACTTTTCCTGATAATGGTAATTTTCATAATTTATCTGACTTGGATTACCAACGTCTCATGCTATATCTTACATCTGTACCAACGTGAGATTTCAGTTTTTATACTGTTATTAAAATTTTAGTATTTTGAAAATAATTATATAAAATATCATCTAATAATTTTCAGATTACAAGAAGCTGATCTTGGATTCCACTTAATAATTGATAGAAGAAATGATAAGTGGAATTCTGTGAAAACTGTGTTATTAAAAATTTCTGTAAGAATTTCAATATCTATTAAAAAATACAATAATAATAATAGTAATAATATAATAAAAGATTTTGATATAATTATATTATATTTCAGGGTTTTTTTCCTGGTTTAGTTCATGTGGCATATGTTTTACGTCCAGCTGGATTTTTACAAAAAGCTATCTCAGAAGTGTCAAACAAGTTATTCAGAGAAGATTTCAAGTTCAGAGTTATATTTTTAGCAAATGTTGCTGAACTTCATGAATTTATAGATAAAGATCAGCTAACTGAGCAACTGGGTGGTACTTTACCATATTGTCATCATACTTGGATACAAAACAGAATTGTAACTAAATTAATACAAATAATATACAAATAGTTATTTACTAAATTTGAATTGTATTTGTATTTCTTCTTTTAGAGTTTAGAAAAATTTTCATCAATGACTCAAGACGTATCACTTGCATTGGATTCTTTTACTCGGCGCTTAGCCGAAATTGAATTTCCTAATAATACAATTGCAACTACATCTTTATTATCTCAACAACAAGTAGAATATAATGAATTAAAAGAAGAAATTCTCAGTGCTGCAAGACATGGTGAAGCACTATTGGACAGTGTAAGGCAATTAACTGGCAAGGGAACAGCTGATAGATTAGGAAATGTTGCAGCAATAGAAAGGTATAAAATAATTTAGTTTAATATCATAAAGTTAAAACTACTGTTTTTTCCTTTTTCTTAAGTAAACTAAAAATTATTATTTATTTTTAGATTACTTGTTCAGTTAGAAGAAACAGAACGTACTTTTGATTTATTTTGGACACATCATAGTTCTCGTTTAAGACATTGCTTAGCATTAAGACAATTTGAAGCTGATTTTAGAGAGTTACAGGCAATATTGGACCAACATATAAAAACTATAGAAGAAATGACAGAAGTAGGAGAAACTCAAGCAAGGGTCGAACAGTTACTTTGTGACACTTCAGCATTTCAAAGAATATGTAGAGTATGTACTTTTATTTACATATATATATATATATTTACACACACACACACACACGCACACCCCATATATACATACATATATACATACTTCTTATTATTAAATAAATCCACATTTCAAACTACGATGCAAAGCAACAAGAATATTTAATAAGTAATGAGTCAAAAATAATTTTTCTCTCTTAATAAATATATTTACAAGACTAAGACACTATTATATATCTAGCAAATGTTTAAAAATACTTACATGTAAAATAATTATCTATACCACTTTCAATTATATATAATTAATGAAATTACATGATAAAAGAAATTTAAGCAATACTAATAGTTCTAAGTTTGAGAATGTTCACAATGCACTTAAGGCAACAAGGTATAATATACAAACCAGTATTATAAAGTTCCCATTTTGTTCCAAGGATACAAAAATTATAATAATTACAATAATATTTGCGAAAGAATAGTAAAAAAAATTTAATGGAAATTCTGGTTTGGATAATTTTTATATGTAGTCACAGATACATATAAATGCACATCATGCACAAATGTTATTTTGCACCGCTTTCCTCATTTTGTCGATAGTCCTATTTGTTGCATACCATGTGGATTTGGGTCTTGGTAAGCAATCCACTCAACAAAGTACATATGTTTTGTGATAGATTTATCTTTTTAAATACAATGATAGTTTAATATTTCAACCTTTTACTTCTACTTTCTTGTTAACTTACTTTTCTAATAAAATAAAAAAAGATTTATGGGTTTGTGAATTAAATCTCTATTAAATTTGTAATTATATTAAATGCATATATAAAGATTAAACATTACTCATAAAAAAATGAAAAAACAATAGGGATTTAATTCATATCTTATACTGGCATGATGAACTTTCAGAATGAATGTCATTGTTATTTCTCATTTTTCACTGCACGTAAGATAGAATCTTTTCTTAGAATACTTTTTTAGATAAAACAATGACAGTTGATGAAAATATTCAATAACTGTTTGTAGTTTTCTTATTAATGTTATTCTAATATTAGAATATATAAACACATATAAAATTGTATAAATTTGTAGGGAGATATAGAACGAGCTGAAGAAGTGATATCTGCTGGACAACAATTACTGTCTGGAAGGCATCAGTGTCCTACAGATGTTGTGGAACCAAAATGTGTGGAACTACAAAGAATTTGTACTATTTTAAGTCAGAGACTAGAAAGACGATTACATATGTTAACAAAGTGTAGGGA